CACATGGAGTCCACATGGAGTCCAGGAACCAGCATGTTAAGAGCCTCACACTTTGAATAGTAAGACAGAAATCTGCATTGTAGAGCTGCAGCAGGAGGAAGAGGAGGAGGAGGAGGGATGTCAGGGAGTAAGGGGCAGGAGCACGAGGTGTCCACTGAGGACGACGAGGTGTCCACTGTCCACTGTTGTTGTTTATCCGTCACACGGAGACGCGCTCGGTTCTTCTAACGACAGAAGTGAAGTCTCACTTTTATTTGCATGCGACATTAATATTAATTCGCGCTGTGAGCTGACAAGCTGCGCTGGTTCTCATCTCCTCAGCATTCGTCCCGTGTTCTTACGCGTTATCGTCTTTGAAGGCTTCCTGCATTGATGCGTCTTTAGGAGCGAGACATTAGGACGTACACAAGAGACAAATTTACAAGAACTCAGCGCTGATATTTGGGGATTTTATGTGTCTGCCAGTATTAAATATCCTTTAATTGCCACCTCCTCTTTGGCAAAAAGAAAGTCACACAATTACAAGCGTGCACATTGAACTTCCTGGTTGTAGCGGCTCCTTCGTCTGGATCTTAACCTCCAACATGGTGCGTTTGTTGCTTCTAACCCGCGTGAGCAGAGCAACATTTGACCTTTTCTGCCCGCTTTGTCTCCACTGCTTTACAGGTTGACAAACAGCCTCAGAACAGTCTAAGTGACCCTAATAAAAGCATTACATTTGACAGCAGATAAATAAATAACTTTACGGGATTTTTACTTCAACTGGTTGAAAGCCGACACGTATGAAAAGTAACGTGCAATTATATGCAAGTATTTTGTTGCCTGTAACTTGTAAATGTTCTGCTTCATGGTCTGTTTGACTCTAAATGGACAATATTCACTAAATGAACATCATGTTGTGTTGAAGAAGACTCAACTCATGTTACGTCAACAACTCATGTTTACTGAGGGAATAAATCCAGAGAGAGTCATTTCCTCATAGACGTCTATGGGAGCAGAGGAGTCGCCCCCTGCTGGTCACTACAGAGAAGTAGAGTCATTTCCTCATTGACGTCTATGGGAGCCGAGGAGTCGCCCCCTGCTGGTCACTACAGAGAAGTAGAGTCATTTCCTCATAGACGTCTATGGGAGCAGAGGAGTCGCCCCCTGCTGGTCACTACAGAGAAGTAGAGTCATTTCCTCATAGACGTCTATGGGAGCAGAGGAGTCGCCCCCTGCTGGTCACTACAGAGAAGTAGAGTCATTTCCTCATAGACGTCTATGGGAGGCAAAGGATTCGCCCCCTGCTGGTCACTACAGAGAAGTAGAGTCATTTCCCTCATAGACGTCTATGGGAGCAGAGGAGTCGCTCCCTGCTGGTCACTACAGAGAAGTAGAGTCATTTCACAGAACGCAGGACTGCAAAATGTACTACTGTTTAAACTGTGACACATTCAGTAAATATGCTTCTAACCTTTCACAATAAAAGCCTTTGATATACTGCCCACCAGAGGTAACACTGAAATATCTGAGCGTAGCTTAAATTACAGACGACTTGAGCTCACACAGGATCCCACTTGGTCCTCTGCCTGTGAATATATTAAAACCTTTTATTGAAAAAGTGTTGCAACTGATGCAAATTAGCATCGCTGGCGTTATGAATTGATGTGAAACATTGGCAGCGGAGTGGTACTGATAATACTAAAGACCCACAAAGTGGATTCCTCAGGCCGTTGTGGATATTGTGCGAGCAGAATGATGAACAGTTGAAGACGGGTTTCTAAATGGGTGATTCCTTATTTGGCAACCGTGCACTTTGAACTCTGACTTATCTCACCGCAGCATCGCCGCCTGCACGGCCGACTCACCGCGCACCGAAAGACTAACGGCACGATTTAATAGCACGCGCCGCGTCGTCTGTGTGCAGAGGTCTGCTGGGAAGAAAAACTGAACTGCCAATTTGGGCGAGTAGGATGAAGCGCATCACATTTTAAATTAAATAAGCAGAGAGTGAAAAGGGAGTAATGAGTGTTTTGGAGAAGTTGGAAGAACACCGCTGACGGATAAAAGGAGCAAAGCCGGCACGCGGCACGAACGCCTATTCCTCCATCAGCTCCGTCAGGGAGGGACGGAGCAGCGCCGCCACGATAACAGCTTCCTATGAAGCCCTCGAAACCTCCCAGTCCACGTGGAAGGTGGGTTCGGTCCAGCAGCGAGCCTGTGTGCGTGTGTGTGTGAGACTGTGTGTGCGTGTGCGTGTGTGTGTGAGACTGTGTGTGAGTGTGTGTGCGTGAGTGAGACTGTGTGTTTCCCCATGAAGAGCTCTGACACACACACACACACTTCCCGCCACTTCCCTCAGTCACTCACAACCTGGCACGCTCACACACCCCACACACACTCTCTCTATGTCATACAGCACAGACATGTGTGTGTGTGTGTGTGTGTGTTTGTGTGCGAAGGACATTTAAGCAATAAAGATTGAGTGGGAAAGGAAATGTGTTTGTGTGACAGATGCAGCTGTCATGCAAACTTTCTGCACGTGTGTGTGAAATAAATAGCAGTTTGACCCAGAGACAAAGACAGAGTGTGTGTGTGTGTGTGTGTGTGTGTGTGTGTGTGTGTGTTCTGGCTTCTATAGCTGCCATAAACGCCCCATGACCGAATGCCACCGAGGGCAACACAAACACACAACAGGGTCCATTTCAATCACTACAAATGATACAAAGATATATTTAAAAACATACGCCGAGCGGCGATTTCTAGTCCTAAAAAACCACGATGTGAGCAGTCTGGCGAAGTAAAAAGTGTGTGTGTGTGTGTGTGTGTGTGTATTGGGGTAACAGGTTAGGTGGCAACAGAAAAATCACAGCTGCACTTCCTGCCGACCGGCGAGAAGTGTGTGAGTCAAAGAAACAGCAGCGTGTCAGAGCTGAAACAGTGTGTGTGCATGTGTGCGTACACACACGCGTGTGTGTGTGTGTGTGAGCTGTGACAGAGTGTGCGCGTGTGCGTGTGGCGGCGTATCGTGACGAATGACTAGCGGCTAGAGAGCCGGAGGACGGCGGCGTGACTGACTGATCGCTGCAGCCACATCACGGGATTAAAACGGCTGACACGGCGATACAATGGCGCCTAAATGAGGGACAAAAACAGAGGAAAGTCGGCCAATGAGGGAAAAGGAAATGTGATTATGAGCCCGGGACAAGAGGGGGGGGAGACAAACTACTTTTATCATCCGACCCCCCCCAACATGGGTGGTGCTGCTGGTGGTGCTGCTGGTGGGGGCGGTTGTTGCTACGGCGTCAGCGGGCCCTCTCTTCTGGTCGTCTGAGAGACGCACCTCGGCCCCTCCAACGCCGGGCCCCCCACCCGGACCAGACACGCCAAACCAAAAGGGGGGGGGGTCAAAGGGGCAGACTAATTATTTGTGGTGGTTACGAACCCATTAACTAAAGGTTGGTTCTCCCATAAAAATAAAAAAACGGCGGCCATGTAAAACCGGCTCCGATCTCCATGACAACGGCCCGAAAAACATTGGACCCCGATTCTGAACTAATAGATCCGCGAACGGAGGCGTGAAACCAGTTTCAAACCTGTTCTGCCCAAGCACACCGCCTGGTTCCCATGAATAAAAAAACTTGTTTAAAACAAAGTACTGGTCAAAACCAGTCTGCCAGTGGGGCAACTTGCCACCAGTTCTTTAAAACCAGTACCATCGCCGCCACCTGTTGCCAAGTAAAAAACACCTTAAAATACCGGCAGCCAAACCAGTTCCAACCCAGTCTCACTCCCACTGACTCCTTGTGTGACACCGTTTGGTAAAACCACTCAAACCAGCACCACACACACTGTGGCTTGTACTCAACCATTTAAAACCAGCAGCCCAAACCGGTCGGAACCGGTCTGTGACCAGTAGCCCGCCCGCGTGCCACCGTTTACTGCACTGGTCGGTGCGTCAACCCGTAGCAAACCAGTCTGAACTGGCGGCAAAAGTCCCCGCGAGACACCGCGGGACACAACCCGACGTGACCCCCCGTGAACCCGCCGCCGACAACAACCGGTGTTTTTTTCAGGAGGAAACCAGTCGGTTAAATCCCGAACTGGTTCGCTTCCAGCGGGTCGACCGGCCGCTGACGGGTCCGCGCCCCGCGGCGGCCGCTCCCGCCGCGAAGGAGCCCGCGAACCCGCTTAAAAACAAAAACACGCACAACAGCCGCGCTCGGTCGTCTGGCGGCGGCGGCTCGGCTCACCTCAGGTGACCCGGGCCGCCCGCCCGGCTGCCTGTGCTAAGCTAACCCCGGATGAACCGCGCGGCGGGGCCGCGGACGCGCCGCAGCCGGCGCAGCGCACCTGTAAGGCCGCCACTTCGCTCGCCGTCACCGGGGCAGAGATATAGAGTCTCGGGGGGGTAAACTGCGTTGTTCCATGGCCCCGGAGGGCAGGAGAGACAGAATAACAGGGAGGGAGGGAGGGGGGTCGGGGACCAAAACACTTCCCGACATTAGAACCCCGCTTGGAGGAACAAGGGGTGAGGGGCTAAAGCTAAAGCGGCTCCCCCCCCGGTCATTAACAGGGGGGTAACTCCGCTGGATAACCGTCTATTATGTGCACTTTCAACGGGGGGAAGGGGGGCATGGCAAAAGTTGTCTCCCGTGAAAACAACAACAACAACAACCACCACAGCGGACCAGATGACATCCAGACAACGGACGAGCCCCCACCGGCCGAGCGAAGAGTTACCTGACGGCCAGGTGTTGTTTTAGCGGGGTGATAAGCGATGGAGGGAGGGGGGACGGGGCGGAGGAGTCAGCAGCAGCCCGGCTAAGAGACACCCAGGCTCGGCCACGGGCGGCGACCGGCCGCGTCCGCAACTTCACTTTTGCGGTGCACTTCTTGTTGAAAATCGTCCTCACCGGGAGTTGAATAAATAAGAAGTTTCCCCCCCACACAGACACACACGCACGCACGCACAGACACACACACACGCACGCGCGCGCGCACCCCCTCCCCGCTCCTACCTGCGCGCGGTGTTCCGGTGGCGGCGGCGGCGGGCGGCGGGCTGCGGGCTGGAAGTTGCTTATTCCCGGGTAGCCCGCGTGGAGCTCGCGCTGGGTACAGTAAAGAGTGTAGCATAGCTAACGTAAAGACGACAGGAGCGAGGGAGGGAGGGAGAAAAGCCCTCCTCGCTGCTCATAGGGGGGATCGACGACACAAGCCACGTGACCTCCTACGTCACCGCATTTGCATACGATGCCAAAAAAAAGGGAAAATAAATGACGTGAAATAAAAATGCACAGGAAAGTTAAGGGGCTCATGATGTCATGACCTGAGGAGGGGGGGAGGGGGGGGGTGGCTTTTACTTAAAATACGTTTTAATTGTATTTGTCCTCAACACCATTATAACACAAACCCACCTTCTTGTAAATAAAATAAATTAAGAAGAACGTTAAATATGATATATGAATTCATACTTATGACACCTGTTTGATGACGTCACAAACAGCAGCTTGGCCCCCATCGTCCACCTCACAACGTATACGCCGTCAGGACTCACACTGTGTGTCGGTAAACGATGTAATAATGCGGTGATAAATGTGAAAACAGGAGCGACAGCGACACCTGCAGGAGCGCGCGCACCGTGTGCACGGATTGTGGGTTTATCGTTGACCCCGAGCAAGCGATGACCTTTAACCTCTGTGACGATGAGGGAGAACGTCCCGAGTCACTAAAACGTCCCATTGGGATCGTTTTTAGGCAGAAAAAATGAATCTGTTTCCCTCCACAAGGTCAGAGGTCACCTCTAAGGCGCGTTTGTTTGTTTTGTTCCACCTATCTCGTTTCTCATTGTATTTCTTGTATTTCATTGTTGTTATAATTTATTAGTTTACTTATTTCACCAGTTTATTTCCTTTGCACATTAAAGTCCAAAAGTTTACAGTTTAAATTTCCGCTGTCTATATATCAGTTTTTCCTTTATTGCTCTGAATTAAAGCCTCACTAAAGACTGATTTGACTTAGTGCCTTGCTCAAGGGCACTGCGGCCAGCAGCAGACCTCATAGGTTGTTTTAATGTATGAACATATTGTACTTTGTGCAGCTTTTCACGCAAAGACCTCAGGATGAACAATCGCACCTTCACGTGCTCCGAAACATGTCGTCATCTTCGGTCCTGCGAGCGGACGGCTGCGTCTGCCAATCAGGAGTTTGTCCAAAGTCAAATACATTCTGGGGAAGACCCCCCCCACACCACCGCCTCCAACCTGCCCCCCCCCCGGCTTATTAAGTAAAGAGCTTCCTTACAGCGTCACAAACCCCACTTTTATTCACCGAGATGTGAGGAGCGAGTCGTCTGCAGCTGGAAGCTCCAGAATTCACAATCCGGGAATGTTGCCGGGCAGAAGAACCGGCTGCAGCCAATCAGCGCAGTTTAGACCGGCATCGCTTAGCAACAAAAAGTTAAAAACCAAACCACTCAAAGCTCAAACATCATCTTTAAAAAAAAAGAAAAGGATTGAGCATCACTAATTTGTGCTTCGCAGCCCTTTGCAAAACCAACAACGTCTCTGACAAAAAGGCGAGTGTACATTAAACAACAACAACAACAGAAAAACAAATCAGATTAAAGGATGCAAAGATGCTACAATGAAAGACGCTTCTGCTCAGTCAGTTTGTGGTCATTTTGTATCCTTTGTAGCAGTTGCGTATCTCTTTGAGGTGATTGTGTATCTTTGTGCAGTTTGACGTCCCTTATTGGTGATTATTGATTGTCGTACTTCTCTTTGTAGACACGTGTGTTTCTAGTCGCCTTGAATCCCTTTTTAGTTTTGTGTTATTCTTGTGGTCACTTTGCATCTCCTCGTAGTGGTTTTGTATCTCTTTGTAGTCCACAGGGGAACATGAACGGACCCTCCAAGAAGAGCCCCCCCCTAGTGTTTTATTCATAGTCCATGTTAGTCCAGAACTTTGCTGCGATAGTTCTTCCCCGTCACTCATTATTAACACAGTGGTTCTGTGGTTCAGATCAGAGAGGAACGTGATATTTCTGTAAGAGACACAATAAAAAGGGGTACGAGGAAGTTTCTAATCACACAGACTGATTCCTCCGTTCAGAGCGGAGAGCAGCCGTGTGGTTTCCCTCTCCTGTCTCCCACTGCAGCGCCTCGCTGGCCTCCTGCCACAATCAATCCAATCAAGCAGAACCAGAAGTCATTATGGGGAGTCACAGCTCACTGTGCCGGGGGGGGGGGGTCTCACCGGGGGGCATAAGGAGCTGCATCCGTAACAGGAAAACTGCTCGTTAGAATTTATTGTGTCATAAAATCAGGACGTTTGAAAACAGGGCTCATAATGAGGCCCGATAATAATGATACGTAATGAAACATAACAAATCATCACCAGTGAAGCGTAGGAGATATCTGAGATATCTGCTGAGTGGGAGGGTTTGTAACCCTGATCATGAAGAGACGGGTTTATTATCTATAAGGAGCATGAGGACCGAAGAACACAGACTGATCAATAAATGTGTCAGTATAAAGCAGCACACACACACACACACACACACACACACACACACACACACACACACACACACACACACACACACACACACACACACACTACACACACTACACAAAGGCCTCAGTGACTCAACAAGCTCTCAGCACTTTGTGTCCTGGGTATCAGATGTTCACTCAAAGACCACAGTAACATCTACCTCTACTCCCACAGCGCTCTGATTAATGTATCACTCATTCATCCCACAGCGTTATTTACTCTGCAGACTGAAATGATTCAAGATATAAATCAATAAATAAATGAAAACAACAACAACAACAACGAGTCTTTTCCTGATATTTGGATGAGTGAGTAGATAAGTGTCTCCTACAATAGAAACAAGTCCAAGGACGCATGTGACCACGATTCAAGGCCGTAGAGGACCCGGCCTCCTGTCCTCTCCACTGGGGGGGCCGTAGAGGACCCGGCCTCCTGTCCTCTCCACTGGGGGGCCGTAGAGGACCCGGCATCCTGTCCTCTCCACTGGGGGGGCCGTAGAGGACCCGGCCTCCTGTCCTCGCCACTGGGGGGGCCGTAGAGGACCCGGCATCCTGTCCTCTCCACTGGGGGGGCCGTAGAGGACCCGGCCTCCTGTCCTCGCCACTGGGGGGGCCGTAGAGGACCCGGCATCCTGTCCTCTCCACTGGGGGGCCATAAAGGACCCGGCCTCCTGTCCTCGCCACTGGGGGGGCCGTAAAGGACCCGGCATCCTGTCCTCTCCACTGGGGGGGCCGTAAAGGACCCGGGATCCTGTCCTCTCCACTGGGGGGGCCGTAGAGGACCCGGCATCCTGTTCTCTCCACTGGGGGGGACCGTAGAAGGCCCGGCATTCCTGTCTCTCCACTGGAGGGGCCATAGAGGACCCGCCCTCCTGTCCTCGCCACTGGGGGGGCCGTAGAGGACCCGGCATCCTGTCCTCTCCACTGGGGGGGCCGTAGAGGACCCGGCATCCTGTCCTCTCCACTGGGGGGGCCGTAGAGGACCCGGCATCCTGTCCTCTCCACTGGGGGGGCCATAGAGGACCCTGGGGGGGCCGTAGAGGTCTTCAGGTTCTTTAAAACTGATGCAGGGACAGATGGAAAAACAAAACAACGTGTTGTTTGTTGTTGATCGTGTCATAATTAAAGCTTGATTTAGTCCTTGTTTCCATGACAACGGCCGGTTCCTTTGCTCCTTTGAGGTGACATTGAAGAGAACGTGTTAACGTGCGTTAAGGTCTTTGCACATAAGGGGCGTGACAGACGAACATCTGAAATACTATAGTATTCATATATATAATTGATATAGTAAACTGATACTTTTTATAAATGTGACGGAACAAAAAGATGAAATAGTGATTTTACTCTGCACGTTTTATCTGAACTGCACAAGAAAATCAGATTCTGAAGAAGGACAAAGGTTCTATTCCATACGTGGAGTGGTGGTTAGTCGCCTCACAGCCACGAGGTCCTTGGTCTGACTTGTTGACTCCAGTGATTCTGTATGAAGGATAAGCGGCTTTGACGACGACTCACTGACAAAGCGAAACAGCAGAAGATAGTTACCTTAATATTTATTAAAAAAACCTATTCAAAAACTGATTTTCAGAGAGAAAAAAAAATAGTAAGCGTCTGTAGGAACTCGTTTCTCTGAATAATAAAACATTCCCTTAATCACCGCAATGTCATTAAAGCAGCCACGAGCCGTCCTCACGCAGAGGGGGATGAAAGCAGCTTGGGCGTTACCGTGGTGACGCAGGAGCTAATTGATTTCCCGGCCTGCGTGCGTGAATAATGAATCACTTTCATCTGCACTTTGGATCAAACTTACACCCGAGAGGCTGAGCTGCAGGGCAGGAGGAGCACACAGTGGGTGACCTTTCACAGACATTGACCAATAGGAAATGCAGCTTAAAACTAAATGAGTTTCAAGTACTCTACACTTATTTGTATAATTCAGTTTAAATGAGTAATGTCATTTTAAGGTTTGTAGATCCTGGAAACTACCACATGATTTGTACAGAGGGGAAAGGTTTCTGTTTGCATCCAGGAGTCAACCTCTAGATCTGAAGAGTGAATCCAAAGCAGGGGGCGACTCCTCTGCTCCCATAGACGTCTATGAGGAAATGACTCTACTTCTCTGTAGTGACCAGCAGGGGGCGACTCCTCTGCTCCCATAGACGTCTATGAGGAAATTACTCTACTTCTCTGTAGTGACCAGCAGGGGGCGACTCCTCTGCTCCCATAGACGTCTATGAGGAAATGACTCTACTTCTCTGTAGTGACCAGCAGGGGGCAACTCCTCTGCTCCCATAGACGTCTATGAGGAAATGACTCTACTTCTCTGTAGTGACCAGCAGGGGGCGACTCCTCTGCTCCCATAGACGTCTATGAGGAAATGACTCTACTTCTCTGTAGTGACCAGCAGGGGGCGACTCCTCTGCTCCCATAGACGTCTATGAGGAAATGACTCTACTTCTCTGTAGTGACCAGCAGGGGGCGACTCCTCTGCTCCCATAGACGTCTATGAGGAAATGACTCTACTTCTCTTGATTTATTCCCTCAGTAAACACAGGAAACATGAGTTTATGGTCTCAGTCTCAGAGCGGAGCGTGTAAAGCATCTCCTGCTTGCGGGGCTACACGCTCTTGATTCAGTATCTACTGGATCCCAAAAAAACAAGATCTGACTGGAGAATATGGCAATGGCCATAATGTAAAATGGCTACGGTCACAATGACTTTGTCTCCTTCGTACAGAGAGTCTAGCGGTTTGGTTTTGATCCACACTGCTGAATAAACTCATTTTAATTCGCTGGAGGACGGAGAGGCAGGTGTTGCTGCTGTATCGTAACCTCCGAGTGACTCCGGGTTCTATGAAGGCAGGGAGCCCAGCTGAGGGGGGGTTGGGTTCAGTGCTGTTCGGTGCCACATAAAGGGAGTAGTCACTACACCTGCTGAGCCAAACAGACGACACCAAAAACAACAACAATAACAACAGTTGAACTCAAGTTTTATTTTGTCTGGGAAACTCAATCACAAGTAAAAAATAAATGACTTCCTTTATTCATCCAGGGGAAGGGGGGGTTTGGACCCAAAGGGTCAAAGATTTCAAAGATCTTGTTCAGAAAATTTAAAATGATCTTGAATATTTGGCAACCAATTTCATTTAGAAAATGCAGCGGTGAATAAACGGGTGCAGGAAGCACACAGATTCACATGAGCGATGAAGAGAACCTCAGATTCCATTGTTTGGTCCGTTGTTTGGTTTTAATGCTAATTTTAGCCTATGTTACAAATGGAGATTAATTAGAAAAAGAATTGGAAAAAACAACAACAACGAAAACATCCAGAAACAAAAAATTCATTAACTCCAAAGTATAAGAACTCTTTTCATTGTTTGTCACAGGCAACGTCAGTATGAGCTAAATAACGCAACAATAAGCAAACAACCTCCTGGTGTGTGACGGTGCAACGCGCCTCCAACTGTGGGATTAAAAACCTGAAATGAAAAATGAAACGAAAAACCCCAAAGTGAAGCAGGACTGGACATAAATAAACATTCTGTTTTTTCCAAATGTGGAAGCGTCTCAGTTTAAGAGTTTAGGAACTTCTGAAACAAACACGAGGAGTAAGAACACGTTCATGAATAGTTACTGGGGTTCGGATTAGAAATGGTGTCGCTGTTACGCTTCACCTTCCCGTCCTGTGGTCGTGAACTGGCAGAACTTCTCCTTTGGTTCGTTTACGGAGGGAGAAAATACTCTTAACATTACAGACGGGGTTCACTTGTTGTAAAGTGTGTGAGTTTTTAACTTATGTCAAATTGTGTTGGACTTCTGTACCAGATTGTTATCTATTAGAACGCATTATTATGTCGGTGAGCCTTTACGTCCCTCTATTTTAAAGGTACGATCATTTCTTTACCCCCTCTGACAGGTGCATGTCATTTAAAAATTGGAACAATGCTTAAAATTCAAATGCTGAACCTTTTTTATGTCGTCTGTGCAGCCGGACCATTTAAAGTTGTGTATATTTATATAAAGTCACAAAGAGTGTAGATGTTGCTTGTTGTCGCTGTAACCCACCTGTTTCTCTGTGTGTAAATGACTCGTTGCAGCTTTTGTGTTTCTGGGTTTGGACAGGAGGACGTAACCGGCCGCGTCAACGACCAAGCAGCAGACCCGATGGCTGAGGACCGGACGGGCATGCTGCTCCGATCAGTCCCCAAACATAAAACCATGTGTCCACTTTGGGACAACAACAACTGACCAGACCCGTCGCCCGAGAGTTGATTCAAAAGCAGAGATGAGTTCAGAGTCCCCACCTGATAACCAGCCCCCCTACGATGTCCATAAGAAATCCTCTACATCAGGCACTTGTTGATTAGTCCACAACTCCAAATCGCCCGATCGGTAAACAGCGGGCGGCCTCCGACCCTTTCCTCTCGTTAAATTAGTCCGGGCGGCGTCTTCGCGCCTCCCTTTAGCCTCCTCTCCAGGCTGACTCCTTTCTCACCACCCTCCCCCGTGCTGCGGGCAACGCGGGCCACGCCGGGGGAGCTCAGGTCGATGCCGTCCTGCTGGTACTCCGGATCGTCGGGGGCCACGGGCTGCGGGGCCGGGTAGTTGGGCTCGTAGAAGCGGTAGGGGTCCTCCTCCTCGACCTCGCCGTAGTTCTGGAAGACGCTGGGTGGCAGTTGGACTGCGGGAACAGCGCCGCGGTCAGTGACATCATCGCCCTCTGCGTTGCCAACCAACCAAGCAAGGCAACCGGCGCACGCCAGTCACACAGGGAGGAAGTCAGTGAGAGCCCAAAAGATCGAAGGAGGGACAAGGGATACCAGGGGTTATAAAGGGATACCAAGGGTTATAAAGGGATACCAAGGGTTATAAAGGGATACCAAAGGATACCAAGGGTTATAAAGGGATACCAAGGGTTATAAAGTGATACCAAGGGTTATAAAGGGTTACCAAGGGTTATAAAGGGTTACCAAGGGTTACCAAGGGTTATAAAGGGTTACCAAGGGTTATAAAGGGTTACCAAGGGTTATAAAGGGTTACCAAGGGATATAAAGGGTTATAAAGGGTAACCAAGGGTTATAAAGGGTTACCAAGGGATATAAAGGGTTACCAAGGGATATAAAGGGTTATAAAGGTTTACCAAGGGATACCAAGGGTTATAAAGGGTTATAAAGGGTTACCAAGGGATACCAAGCGTTACCAAAACATACTAGGAGATACCAAGGGATTAGCACAGGATACCAAGGGATAAGAAGGGATACCAAGAGGGTTACTAAGGATTAGCACGGGACACAAAGGGTTACCAAGGGTTATAAAAGGTTACCAAGGATCACCAATTGAAAACAGAGTTGGAGGGAAGGATACATTCAGGATTCACGGCCGCAATGTTAGGGTGTTGAAAATGTTGAGAATATCCAACTTAAAGCACTGCTATGTTAAGCTAGCTGCTATGCTAAGCGAGTTGCTAGGCTGCTTCTCAACATCTAACGTTACCCTCTCCATCAAACACAACCGTTAAATGATGGAGAGTTGTGAGCAAAGTGCACGAGGAAAATTGATCCCCCTCGTCCCCTCGACCCCCCCCAAAAAACTAGATTTTATAAATGATTCTATTCTATTTTACCTGGTCTTGGAATTACTACTTTGTTTTACCTGCAATGGCCAAAATACGTCGTCGGAATAAAAGTTAATAAAGTTAAAAGGTTTTCAAAGTTAAAGTAAATAAATAATACTCAAGGTTAAAACATTTCTTTAAGTTATTGCCGGATTCATTTTTTAGGACGGTTAAATAGTTTTTTTATGTTACAAGTTTTTATTGAGTCAGCGCGGCTGTAAAATAGAGGAACTGGATGATTACTTCACATTACAGGTCATTTAGCGGACGCTTTTATCCAAAGCGACTTACATTGCATTTTTAACCCGTGGCTTTTTACATTTTGGGGCCAGGGAGCAATTAGGGGTTATGTGTCTTGCTCAGGGACACTTCGACATGGTGCATGAATCAACCAGGGCTCGAACCGCCAACCTTGCGGTTCCCGGCACCCTCTCTACCACATCGACCCTCCTGATCATAATGTAGAAGAAAAATGAAGCAGAGGATGATTGAGAGTTCAAAGGACGACGTCTGAGGAGATTAAAGAGAAGAGAAAGTAATTCTCTCATCCTCAACAAATCACATTAACAGACTCAAAGAGTTCATATCAATTGATAAATCAGAGTTTAGGGAGAGAGCAACGAATAGAATGATGGTTGTTCAATTGGGTATAAAAAATTAAAAAAACTGATTGCTTGATAAAATAATAACAGCCAATAAATAAATGAACAGGATTCATTTAATTAACTTACAAATTATTATATCTGGCATTCCCTTTGTTGTTGTTTTTTTTTTTTTACTGTAAACTACTTTATAACTGTCTTATATTATATTTTACTTTTATAACGGTTATTTCATCATGACTCAAAGCAGGTCAGCTGTGTGACCTTTAACCTCAAAACACAGTAACACAATCATGCATTTGATGAGTGAAGATGACTCATGCCGGGTTTTCTTTAACTGTCACAATGAATCACACAGATCAATGTGTGTCAATGGAGCTGCTGTGGTCGGCCCTCGTGCATCAAATGGAAAACATTTATTCTTCTTATTTTGGAAGTTCTGCCTTTAATACTCAAGTAGCACTCAGGCGCAGGAGGAACAAGATGTTCCTTTTGTGCCGAGTTCTGGAGTATTAAAAGCTGATATATACATATTTTAAATTAGATAAGATTGTTGGTTCAATACGTCTCATTATTGAACCACCTTCGATCAGACAGGTTCTCTTAATGCTGCCATAGATCATCTCAGGGCCCTACGTACCTCCCACGTTGTAGCCCACACACGAGTTCTGGTCGCAGTACCCCGGAGACCCGGCAGAGCCAACGGGTCCGGGGTTACCGGGCCGGCCAGGAGAGCCGGGGTTCCCGGGTCGCCCCGACGGACCCTGGCTGCCAGGTCTGCCTTGCCCCTGCGCACCTGGAAGGAGAGGAGGAGTTAGTGAGGCCCAGGTGGACAGCCTCCTGCGGAGGGGCGGTCTGGCTCAGTGCGGGTTAATGTACCGGGGGGTCCTGGAGGGCCTCGGGGGCCTTGGACTCCAACTCCTGGAGATCCTTTGTCGCCCTTTTCTCCTGATTGACCTGAACACACACACACACACAGGTAAAACAGGGCACATGGGTCCCGGGTGCTGGATAGGTAAACATCTGGACGGGTCCGTGTCCATAAGCTCCAGCTGAAAAGCCCTGACGGGGATCCTCGGCCCTTCACCTCTCTCTCCAGGCTGCCCGTTCTGTCCGTTCTGTCCTGGGAAGCCGGGTCTTCCAGAGGGTCCCTGTTCTCCCTGGGGCCCCGGGGTCCCCTGCCTGCCGGGCTCCCCGGGGGGGCCTGGCACAGTGCGGATGGAAACTGGTGGACTGGGCACGTGGTTGAGGATGGAGTTGTAGCGCGCCATGTGGCCTGGCAACAGAAACAAGTGTCTTCAGCAGATGCATCAGAAACCTTTTGGCCCAAACCCGACCTAAACCTACGCCCCTTCACACTACAACGATAACTGAAGCGATCTCAAAGAGACACCCAATGACCAAAAAGAAACTGAAAATATTGCCTTGATCCGTCCTTTCGGACGATGCTTTGATTGAGGGGGTCCGCGGGGGCCCGGTACTCACTCTGGATCAGCTGCTCACAGACCTGCCTGGCGATGTCCTGGACGGACGAGGTCGACTGGAGGTCCCCCTGCCGACACACCAGAGGAACTTCTGTTGGTTTCGATCAAACTAAGGGGTCCTGATGGACGTGGGAACCATCCATCCATCACTAGATGTGTCGTACAAACGGTGAACCTTTGCAATCGGACTCTGGCGAGGGAAAGAGCGTAGCAACACTTACCCGTTCACCTCTCTCGCCTTTGCTTCCAGGAAGACCCTGCAGCGAGGAGGAAACAGAAGTTAAGACGGAAGCGGTTCAGATGTCACGGAACATCGTGGCTTCGTGAAGCCAGAGGATCTCTGGAAGCTCTGAAGCAAACCTGCAACACTTTGTTCTTCCTGTTTGGACGTGCCTCGTTAAATAGTCTGATTGTAACAACTTTCCATTGTGGACTTTTGTCTTAAGCGTAGCTTAAGCAGTAGTGCTTTCAGAAGGAACAACGTCCACGTATCTGTTCAGAAGCCCTGAGAGAACGTTTTTCTAGATCTCCCAGTGTTCCTGAGCTGTGAGGACAGGCGAGTGAGCCGACTGGGCTACTTTATTATCCGTGAGGATGCGCTTGTTGTTGAAGTACTCGTTCCGTCCACAAGAGGCTGAGAGCATCGCTGCCACATCACCAGGCGCTCGTCCACATTCATCCACCAGCAGAAGAAGCATTTCAGGAGTACAGAAAGAGGATCGCAGTAAACAACGATTTTTCAACCGGTTTTTGAGAAAAAAGATGATTTTAACCAAAAACCATAATATAACAGATCCTCTTGGAGCCTTTAAAAAGGTTAAACAGACTGAAGGAAAATGTAGAACTTTATCCAAATAAAAGTCAGTGTGTCTCAGTGTGAGACAACACCCAATGACCCCTGACCCCCCAGGCAGAGGAATGCTTTATCTTCTTCCTAAAACAGAGGCCCACTTAAAGTTATATTATTATTATTCTAGCGGATCAATTCATTTTTATTTTATTGCTTCAGAGACAAAGCGTGAAAGCATAAAAAAAACATAATAAACCAAACTATCTGTTTTCACACAAAGGGACAAAGAGACGGGGACAGGAGGTGAGGACTCACCGGAGGTCCCAGATCTCCTGGTTTCCCTGAAGAGCCCGTGTTACCTGGGGCCCCCGGGGCTCCTGGCGTCCCCTGAGGAGACACAGACAGTGAAGAAAGAGGCGCGAGTGCGTAGTTACAGCGTTAACGGTGGAATCAACGGTTTCAGAATGAGTGTTTAATGTGCGTGAGCTGTCAAAGCTGGAGAGCTGCAGATAAGTAGAAGGACACGAAACACAAAAACGGGCTCTTACGATGGTTCCTGAGGGACCCGGTCGGCCCGGCGGTCCGTCTTTACCCGGCAGGCCCTGAGGAGGAGAAACAGGGGGGTTAGGAAGCTCTTTGAACCCGGGCTGGAAAGCGTTAACAATGTGTAGAAGAAGTATTAGTGCACCTGAGAGGAGGAAAGAAGAGGTCACATGCTAGTAACACCAGCAGTAACCCCCCCCCCCCCCCCCCGGGATGTTTTGATGAGGCGACTCCCTCTGGGTCCCGGGGGTCCTTCTCTGCCTGGAGCTCCAGGTCTGCCAGCTAGTCCCTGAAGAAACAGCAGGAGAGAAGAGGCTCACACCTTCTAATGACCTATTCAGTGAAGATCCATTGAGCCACATTACGTAAAGACCGGTGAACTACGCAGGTCTGCAGGGTAAGCAACGCTGGTCCAAAAACACTTTCAATGGTCTGCACGGGACACTTTTTCAAGAGACTAGAGAGTTGCCGGTTGGATTCCCGGGCCGGGAAGCAGGAGACTGGTGGAGGTTGAATCCACCCTGCGATGTCACAGACTCAGGGAAGAGAAACAGAGAAACCAACCTTGTACAAATGGCACCATCATTCACATCTGCTAAAGGGCACATGGGGGTAATTCACTGAGGAGCACAATTAGACCAAAAACCAGTAAGCCCGGCGTGTGGGGAGCAGCGGGCTGTAGGCGCCAACGGCAGCGTTTCCTGCACAACATTCAGGCGTAATTTAACTTTAAGGCGAAGCCATCGACTTGGAATCACCTGCACGCCTTGTTGTCCCGCTTCACCTTTCTGTCCTCGCTCTCCTGGACCTCCCTGCAGACAGAAAGACGTTGTTGCCGGATCCTGAGTATGTTTCTAATGTAACATGGAGCTCGCTCAACAAAGCAGCATGTTTAGAACACGAAAGGCATCAGACAAGAACCACGGATAATAATAATATATAATAATAATATATTATAATAATAATATTATATAATAATAATATATTATAATAATAATAATATATAATAATAATATATTATAATAATAATATATTATAATAATAATAATATATTATAATAATATGATACAGAACACGTCCACGAGCATCGCAGGCGACGGCTGGCGGGTCGTACCGGGGGTCCGATGATGGAGCGCCCGCTGTGGCCCTGCGGCCCTTGGGGCCCCGGAGGTCCTGGCAGTCCCGCGTCCCCCACGGCACCGGTCGCCCCCTGGAGACGGAGACGACGGAGACGGACAACGTGTTAACCCCGCGAGGACACCCGTCATGTGCTCCAGAGACTGACGAGCCGATCGGCTCATCTCGGTTATCGGTTCAACCAACAGGGAGGATGTGAGGTTTAGACGTGAAGCAGGAAGAGAGATTCTACGATTAGCTGATCTGAGATCAGCGAGCGAGAGAGAGACAACTGCATTACTTTGTAGAGCTTTTAAGTTTGGTGTGTCCTCATTTCATTGAGCTGTTTAATTGAATGTCTGCTGCTAGAAGCAACATCTCTCCTGATTAAACCTCGTTATCTGAGAACAATCTGACTCCTCAGAGACAAACCGCAGATCTCAGATCAGCCTCGCATCTCTCTTACGTCCGCATCGGCCTTTTTTTTAGTGCGGCGACGCTACTTCCTCGTTCCGAACACTCAGAGACGAAGACGAGGAGGACAAGGTGACACGCGTGAAAATGTCCTCCAACATCTATGAGAGCTTTTCTATGCATGGGATGTACTGTCGAGGACAAGACGGGGGACAGCGGGAGGAGAGGATGGTGGACATCTACGAGAGCGCGGGGACGTCCACCGAGCACCACGTTCCCCCGGAAACAGGTACGACATCATCTACCATTAAATACTATCAGGAAACGATCTGTTAGCATGAGAGCATTAAAGCGAATGTACCAGGTGAGAGGATGAGTTATTGATTTGATCGTTTGCTCTCCACATTTAAACACCGGATCAATAAACACTCTCAATACTTCAGTTAAAGCTTAAACACTGGGTCAGATTCTTTTGTTTGGGTGCAAAAAGTTTAATTTAATCTGAGAATAAAAAAGAATAAAGAGATGTTCTTGTTTGGCTCTGCAGCAGCAGCCAATCAGAGGCCTCCGCCTGGCGTCCTGAAGAACGTCCTGCGAGCGGCCGTCGTGGTTCTGGTCCTCCTCTGCGTCCTGCTGGGGGTCGGGCTCCTCGTCCTGTCGACTCGCAGTGAGGACCTGGTCTTTGTCTCCTTCTCACAGCCTCCATGCAGGACATTGATGTCCCCTCACTGTCCCTGCATCCCCCCCCAGGTGTCTCCGTCCCGCCCAGCGGCCGCTACGAGGAGCTGGACGCGAAGTACCGCCTCCTGTCCCGCGGCTACTGCCGCCAGGGGACCCGTGGGAACGTGTCCGGTAAGACGGGGGGCGTTGCCGTAGAAACCGTGGAGGAGAGGGGCGTGCACGCAGCATCATGTGATGGACACGCTTGGGTTCTGGTGTTAAATCTCACGCACTTGCTGTGAAATGATTTGAAATGATCCCTGAAACCTGAACGCAGAATGGAGGGTGTTGAATGCAGCTGCTACTACAAGTTCACGAGAAGAAGAACTGACGAGAGCGGGCGGACTGTCGCGCGAGAGCAGACCTGGTGATGATTACGTCCACGAGGAACAGGTGGGTGTCTGCTGACTGCTCCACCACTGTCCCGTGTCCCACCAGCCAGAGACGGATTCAGAAGTTCTGCTTCTCGTTGCTGGTCAGGAGTTCGTCAGCTGGCTGAGTGAACAGGAGACCTTCTGGATCGGCCTGCATGCACGGGAACGGAGCGTGCCGGGGGAGTTGGAGTGGGAGTGGGTGGACAACAGTCGCTTTTCGTACAGGTGAGAACCTCTTCATCGTATTGATTAAATGTAGAGCTTCGTAGGTTTGTTTAAGAAGCCATGGATCTCACGACAGCTGAAGACGACTACTGCTGGATCCTCTGAAACCAAACCAACTCATCTTCTCCTAAAGAACCTCCTCAACGGACCAGAAGGATCGTCAGACCTAACTGGGTTCTTTTGTGACCCATGTATCAGGGCCTGGGGGGTCAACGTGGCCGTGACCCGGCCCTCTGAGGGGTCCAGAGGCTACATCGGCCCGCAAGGAACATGGAATCAAACCGACGGCGGATCCATCCAGCGATTCATCTGTGAGAAGAAAGTGATGGAACACAAAACGGAGACGTGACGAGAGAACCGATTTCCATCCAAAGGCTCCTGGGGGGCCGCTTCTTCCTCTTCTTCCTCTTCTTCCTCTGGCTCCTCTTCTTCCTCTGGCTCATCTTCCTCCTCTGGCTCATCTTCCTCCTCTTCTTCCTCTGGCTCATCTTCTTCCTCTTCTTCCTCTGGCTCCTCTTCTTCCTCTGGCTCCTCTTCTTCCTCTGGCTCCTCTTCTTCCTCTGGCTCATCTTCTTCCTCTGGCTCCTCTTCTTCCTCTTCTTCCTCTCGCTCCTCTTCTTCCTCTGGCTCCTCTTCATCCTCTTCTTCCTCTGGCTCCTCTTCTTCCTCTGGCTCCTCTTCTTCCTCTGGCTCCTCTTCTTCCTCTTCTTCCTCTCGCTCCTCTTCTTCCTCTGGCTCCTCTTCTTCCTCTTCTTCCTCTGGCTCCTCTTCTTCCTCTGGCTCCTCTTCTTCCTCTGGCTCCTCTTCTTCCTCTTCTTCCTCTGGCTCCTCTTCTTCCTCTTCTTCCTCTGGCTCCTCTTCTTCCTCTGCTGGGCGGCAGGTGTTTGTTTCGTCCATATTTGCTTCTGGGGGTTTTGTCAGCTGACGAGCTGTCAGTCTGGGGGGGTTGTTGTGGTTTATTGATCCTGCAGAGCTAACATTAGCATTTAGCATGGACCACTGATCTGTCACATGTAATAAACAAACGTTACACCTGATGGAGCTTTGGTTATTTTGTGACGCGTGTTGAGGACACGGCAGAGAGCAGCGTCCCGCTCAGCGTTCATCACGCCAACAACCGCTTTGATCCCCTTCAGCTGCTCGGCGTCTCTCTGGAGCTCATTTGAGTCCTTAGTTCGGGGACATTGTTTCACACGAGGCGTGGAAGCCGATCCGAGCGTTAATCTACACATCTCATCCATGAACGTCGGGAAAGCTGAACGTCTACAGACACTTTAAAGGAGGAGCGAGAACGAGCTGATGAACATCAGCAGGACTTACCACCGGACCTGGCTCTCCACGATCTCCTCGGGCTCCTCTGATGCCTGAACCTCCCTGTGTGAACACGGAGAGCAGGGGACGATTATGCACACGGAGATGTACACGGCCTCAATGCTGCAGGCGTGTGTGTGTGTGTGTGTGTGTGTGTGTGTGTAGATTTAGGGAGAAGTTGTGTAAACAGACATTTGTGTTTCCTGATTGTTAAAACAAAGTGTTAATCCTGATGTTTGTGATTGACGGATCACAGCTGGGTTGTGTTTGAGTTCCCTCTGCATGAGCGGAGGCGGTAAAAGCAGCGTGCGATCGATCGGCTCATCGATCCCGGGCGAGTGTGTGGTGGGGGTGCGGCGCTCACCGGGGGTCCGGCCGGCCCAGGGGGGCCTTTGCTGTCCTGGGTGCAGGTGCAGGCTTTGGGCATGGCCGGGCAGTCCGCCTCCTTCCTCTGGACGGCGACGAGGAGGACGCAGAAGACAGAAAGAAGAAGCGTTTGTCTTTATCTCAGAAAGCGGCTGAAACAGGAAGTGTGGGACTTTCCTCTTTACAGATAAATGTTCTAACGAAAGTAACGTTAGTGGAAGATGTGAAATGCTGCAGAGAGAACGATCCTTGATCCTACCAGAAAGGTTCTACATACATCGTAAGACTTGAGGACTCTTTTAGGAGGACGTCCGCTGCAGAACTTTGGTTCTCTGGTTCTATGAACTATATGTACCTCAGTGAAGCACTAGAACCTCGTAGAACCTCTTTGAGGTCCAGCACACTTTACAAACTACGTTACTCTTCATGATTCTGTGCAGTTGTGCAATATTAATCAATGAACTAATGTCAATATAATTATATAAGTGTAAACATTGGATGAAACTCTTTGAATGAGTGGAGTGAACTTTGACCTCACCAGACCAGGGAGCTCGCAGCACTTGTCTCTGCCGGCCCACGACGTGCTGCACACGATGTCAAAGGCCTGAAGCTGGAACTGCACAGGAGGAACACCCCGCCACAATAAGAGCCTTGGACCGACACACAGTGTGTGTGAGAGAGTGAGAGTGTGTGAGTGTGTGTGTGTGTGTGTGTGTGAGTGAGTGTGTGAGTGAGTGTGTGTGTGTGAGTGAGTGTGTGTGTGTGAGTGAGTGTGTGAGTGTGTGTGTGTGTGTGTGTGTGTGTGTGAGTGAGTGAGAGTGTGTGAGAGAGTGAGAGTGTGTGAGAGAGTGAGAGTGTGTGAGAGAGTGAGAGTGTGTGAGTGAGTGAGTGTGTGTGTGAGTGAGTGTGTGAGTGTGTGTGTGAGAGTGTGAGTGTGTGTGTGAGAGTGTGTGTCAGTGAGAGTGTGTGTGTGAGTGAGTGAGAGTGTGTGAGAGAGTGAGTGAGTGTGTGTGTGTGTGTGTGTGAGAGTGAGTGAGTGAGTGAGTGAGTGAGTGTGTGAGTGAGTGTGTGTCCTCACCGGGGCCGAGCTGTCCTTGTTCCCTCGGGACCGGACCTTCCTCCCGAGGACCTCCACGCCGTCGGTGCTGATGTTTCCCGCCGCGTTGATGCTTTTCTCGTCCACGGCGCTGCAGTCGATCAACACCTTGGCGCTCGTCTTGCTGACGGCGATGTGAAGCTACATACATACATATATGTTCATATATGTATGTATGTACATATATACATATATATCAGCATGTCTTGTTGAGCTTCTGAAACCGTTTTACGGTTTAGTTGTTCCACTAAAGCCTGATATCATCTGCTTATTTAAAAGTGGACGTCCTCAACGTCCCTCATGCTCACGGGACGTCCTTCTCCTTGTCCCCAAAGGATCAATAAGTGATGGATGGGCTCTGACCTTGTGGAAGCTGCCGTAGAAGAGCTTCTTGATGTCGGGCCCTTCGAAGGTCACCGTCTGGAAGTCTCCTTTGAAGTCGTTGTTGAAGAACGTCAGCGTCTTCCCGCCGTCTGCAGGACGCACAACGCGCACGAGTTACACAACCCCGGGTCCATGTTGCAGGAACACGACGTACTCGCTTCCTTTGCTGCGTCGCCTCTTTCACAAGCTGCTCACGAAGGAAGCGGAGATCAGAGGTCAGACTCACGGTCCAGGATGACGCCCACCAGCGGCTCGTTCTTCTGGTCCAGCACCTCCCACAGGGCGAAGGGCTCCTCGGGCGTGTCGGGCAGCAGCCTGAACAGCAGGCTGATGGTGTAGTCGGAGGGCAGCCCTTCAGGGTGGATGTACCTGTGGGGCGCGGGGGGTAATTAGGACATGTTCGGTGCACGTGTCCCAGCTGGCGCCCCAGCTGACTGGTGGCCGTACCTGGTGGGCTGTGCCAGGAAGGCGTCGGCGTGCAGGTGGAAGCACGGGAAGGTGTTGAAGGTGCCGGGTACCATGGAAACGCCGGCGACGCTGCCGTACCGACTCTCCGCCAGCCCGAACAGCTCCATCATGCGGAAACCTGGGGCGGGTGGGGCGGGGGTTTAGCTCCACCCCCGACAGAGCCCATCGGGTTTAGCTCCACCCCCGACAAAGATCTACTGCTCTAGATGAACGAGGTTCAAATCCACGTTCCTCGTCCGACCGCAGCGGTAATTATGCACCAACCCGACCCCCCCCCCCGGTGAACAGCCTCTCACCTGGGGTGCTGCTGCCGCTCATCGGTACGGACGGACACGCTGGGGGAAGAAAACAAAAAGGTGCGTTTGATTCTCTAGCCATCTGGACGCCGTGGCCTGGCAGGGGGCGTGGGGGGGACGTGGGGGGGACGTGGGGGGGGGGGGGGGTCACTCACTGGCGCTGGCGGCCTCGCACACAAACGTCACCAGCTTCTCCTCGATCTTCGTGAAGGCGTCCAGGTCGTCCACGAAGAAGACGTGCCGGTCGCTGGGCTTGCTGGCGATGCTCACCAGCTCGCCGTAGTCGGCGTCGGCGAAGCCGATGGCGAACACGATGTAGCCTTTAGAGGGGGGGGGCAGGGTATTTATATATATGTAGATATTCTCCTTTCCTCTGTGAAAAGAACAACCCCCCCGCGCTGACCTTCCATCTGCATCTCCTTGGACACCTTGTTGACGTCGTCCTGGGAGCGCCCGTCGGTGAGGACCACCAGCACGTTGGGGATCCCCCTCCTGACCCCCCCCTCCACCGTGAAGATGTTCTCCTTCACGTGCTGGATGGCTCGACCTGATTGGACAGAGTCAAATCGTCATGTGGGGGAGGGTGTCGACACGACGCTACTGAGGCCAGCAGGCCACGCCCCCTCACCCGTCTTGGTGTTCCCCCCCTTGTAGGAGATCCTGTTGATGGCGTCCAGCAGGCGCTCCTTGTCGCTGTGCGAGTTCAGCTTGAACTCAGTGCGGGCGTCGTCGCTGAACTGGGCGATGGCCACCTGTTGGGCGAGAGAGGGGGGGGCACGTCAGAGGTAAAAGGGGAGGGGAGGAGCCAACAAGCACAGGCCGTGTGTCACTCATCTTCACTCATTGTGTCGTTACTTCCTGTCACGTGACCAGAGCCCCGCGTACCTGCGTGCCGTCCGGCCCGATCCGGTCCAGAGCCCCCGCGGTGCTGTACAGGAAGCGGATGATCTTCAGGAAGTTGTCGTCGCCGATGCTCCAGGATCCGTCCACCAGGAAGACCAGGTCGGCTCTGGCCGCCTTGCAGACTGTGACGGACAGCGAAGGAGGCGGGGCCTCGCTTTACTCAACGAGTCACACGTCTGGCGTTAAAATAACTCCCCGTTTCATTCTGCGTCCTTTGTTTCTCTTGTTGCAAGGTTGAGAAAAACGAGACATGAAAGCGTCGCTTTGCTCACGACCTCAAACGACCTCAAACGACCTCAAACGACCTCAAACGACCTTCATGTCTGACGAAGAAACTCAATCGGATTTAAAAAGGTTAGAAAAAGTGTTAGACATCGGCGTGGGCGCAGCTCCTACCTTCCTTAGCAGCGGGGATTGTGGGTAACGGCGTGGTGGTGGGGGGTGCGGTGGGCTTCGGGGTCGGGACGGGGACTGGAGAGACAACGAGAGAAGACGAAGACGTTGAGACCTGGAAATCATCATGTGACCTGAAGCCCTTCACATTAAACACACGTTCTAAGCCCCGCCCCCCCCGGCGCTCTTACGTGTTGCCGCGGCGACGCTGACCTCGGGCCCCTCGGTGCCGTCCTGCAGCTGGGCCCTCAGGCTCAGCTTGTACTGCGTGTCGGCCCTCAGGCTGTTGAAGCAGTGCCGGTTGGCCCCCCCACTCAGCCTGGTCTCCTGCTTGTGACCATCTGCACACAGAGGCCCCCCACGTTAGGTCCCACCTGGAGTCACGTGAGTCCCAAGCGCTTTAAACGGGAGGGGGGTGACTGTGGGCGCCGCAGGGGGCGGGGCCTAGCTGACAGTTGGTACCGTCCTTTGTGCCATTTCACTGTTATCGTGTTGTGTGGAGCTGATGAGGACGTTCTCATACATCGTGAGAGGAAGTGTGGATCCCGTTAAACTGGACAAAGGCCATCGGTGGGACGATCCGCCTGCGTCTGTTTCGCTTCACGCCGGCGGTCGGACTCGACTGGAAACCCGTCACACACACAGGAAAAACTTCATCACGCTGGCAGGTGGAACCTTTTAATGAGCGAAAGGTCCTGAAGGTCCAGACGAAGCGTGTGTGAGTGCTGGAGTCTAAGTTGTAGACTGAGTTTGACACCTCGAGTGTATGAAGGGTCAATCCGACCTTTGACCTTCGGCCTGGTGGCTGAACCAGGAGACCAACCGTCTGCGGTCGGATTCATTTTGTTGCTGTTTGCCGGTTTCAAACAGAAAGGAGAAGCTCTTTACTGGTCGGGGGACTTTGATGAGACGTGTTTTCCCAGAACGCTTAATTAGGCGCCGCCGGTCGCTGGACGTCTGACGGACGGAGCGGCTGCCGTTACGTTCTCCTCCTCATCATCAAAGGAAGACCAACTAATTAAAGCAATAAATCGAACCGGTCATGAGCGGCAGACGGGTCACAGTGAAACCAGATGTTTAACGCTGCGTCCAGAGGAGCCGTGTGATGGAGGTCAAAGGTGAAAGAGTGTGATGTGAAATGATAAAACACACACAGATTCTACTTACTCAACCGACCACTAGAGGCCCCCAGACGCACACACACAGCGGGGCCTTAGCCCCCCCCCCCCACATCTGCATTCTCCCACTGACGGAAGCATGCGTGATGCGTGACCACTCCTACCGACTCACACGTGCATCCTGAGGATGTAGTTTGGGTGTAGCGCACGCAGGGGGCGGGGCTACTCACCGGGCACGGACTCCAGCAGCAAGCGGTAGCTGCTGGCGTGGCGGTGCGGCTGCCACTGGGCGCAGATGCTGCTCACCTTTACCTGGGAGGCATTCAGGCCGCTGACCCCCAGGTACACTGCAGGGGGGGGTGAAAGTGCGTTTAGTGAATGCAGAAAGGGGAAGAGGACTTTTCTCTGATGCGTCCTCTACTCACGGGTCTTGGGCCCCCCTGACAGGGGCTCACTGGAGCCGGTGGTGTAGGAGGCGATGAACTTCACACTGTACTCCGTCCCGCTCAACAAGGTCACGAACAGCATGGTGTTCACGTCCTCCCCCACAAAGGTCTTCAGAGCTCGTTCTGGAACTGCAGATTAAGGGGGGGGGGGGGGGGGGGTGTTAATGAGTGACGCGATCGTTGGCTTTGATTCCAGCGAGCGGGAGAAGGATGAGAGACAACGGGACCTCTGCGCTGTCATTGGCATTCAGAATAATAGAGAACAGAATAACTGAAAGCTTTGGAGCACTTTGTGTTCTCGGGGTTTGCTTTCTGTCCTCAGAAACCGAGTCAGACGAGTATCACAAATATATATATATATATATACACACACATATATATATATATATATATATATATATATTCATTAAAACTAAATATCCCCCAAAATTACATTCATCTCAAGATTCTCAAGAGAACACATTCAATATTAACCCAGCTATCCCCTGGAGAACAAGAACCCACGCGGAACTGGCTCTGAACTGGTCTCAGTTTAGTCCAGATCCCCTTTATGAACCGGTCTCAGTTTAGTCCTGATCCTCTATAAACTGGTCTCAGTTTAGTCCAGATCCCCTATATGAACCGGTCTCAGTTTAGTCCTGACCTTCTATAAACCGGTCTCAGTTTAGTCCAGATCCCCTATCTGAACTAGTCCCAGCGTAGTCCTGATCTCCCAGGTGGACCCCGTGTGAGCACCTTACCAGACTGGGGCTGGTAGACCACCCTGTAGCCCATGGTGGGGGATGGCGGGACGTCCCAGCTGATCCTGAAGCGGTTGTACCATTCCTCCGATACGCGCAGGTTCGTAGGAGCCGAGAGAGGAACTGCAGAGAGAAGGAAGCCGGTAAAGTCTGCTGGGACTGATGGAGTGAGTAGAAGAGATGTTGGTGAGAGGAAGTAGGACCTCTTGCTGTCGACATGTGACCTAAGTGATGGTTGACGTGTACAGGCGATTGGATAATGAGGGAGGATAACATCCAATTACCCTCAATAGATATTAAGGTAGATAATAAAGTCATCACGATGTCCTCCATCTTTTCATAAACTATTGATTAGATCTTCAGTCGCCGTCTCCATGACAACCTCTTCAGCATCACACGTCAGCGTACCCTCCGATTTAAGACGCTAAAGCGCCTCCTGTCATTGTCCCGGGTTCCACCCCCCCACTGCTCCAGCCCCCCGGACCCCCTCACTATTCTACAGAGTGAACCCTCCACACTAAACAGACTCTCCTCCCTCTTCACCTTCATCAGTAAAGAACCAGTCCCGCTCCCTGCGTTCAGCAGCCCATCGCCCCACAATGACGTTCCTCACCCCTGCTCCTCACCCCTCCGGGAACCAGAAGCTGGAGCTGGAGCTCTAATGAGCTTAGTCCCCCAGTGGGGGGGGCAGTAGATACGTCAGCACTGACTGGTCAGCCCCTCTGAACGCCATCGCCATCGTTAGCCGCTAGTTCAACAACATCTGATGCTAATGGTATTAGCATGCTTAGCTGAGTTTCTTTGGCTTTGGCCGGAGGTGTAATTAGTGTCTCGCTCCACTGAGTAGCGGCTCGTTCTCTCCCCCGCTGGCAGGAAGCAGATCAAACTCTCCTCCCACATTCATTCAGAAGGGAATTTCATTTGATTCTATTTTTCAACCTGGACGACCTCCATCTGCTCTGATGGGCCCCCCCGAGATGATTCACACGATGCGCTCTGGTCTTTCTCTGACCTCTCCAGTGTCATCTGCCCCCCCCCCCCGCCTCTCTGAGCCCCATCCCCGAGTGGGTCACACTTTCTGATTACTATTCTGCCTCCTCCGTCCCATTATCCATCTTCAGTTTGAGGCTAAAAACCCAATCACACTCTCCACCCCCCCGGCGGTACCCTGCCCCCCCCCCCCCAGGTTTCAACTCCCGAGATTACAGCGGCTCGCTCTGTCACATCATCGATCTTGGCTGTAAAAAACCCAATCACACCCTCCCTCTGCATTCCCAGACGCTCCACCCAGGGCGATCATCTCATCCCTCACCGGCTAACGGGAGCCATTCGTCATCAGCGGGGTGCCGGAGGCCCCCCTCCCTCCCCAAGACGCCGTTAGCATGCACTAATGTGTGTAATGCCGAAAGACGGATGGCTGGAGGTCCGGCGTCTTTCTAGAGCGCTTGATCCCGTTGCGGAGGAGCGGAGGAGGCACCTGAGATTTAAAGCCCTTCCTGGCTTTTAAAAGACTTTTCCTCACGATTAAGTAAATTACAGGCAGCTTCCCTGATGCTGCCAATAGACGTTTAATCTCTCACATGGATGAATCTCATTCACACATTCAGCATCTCGCTTTCATCTGGAAATGTTTGCTAATATCTATTCCGGGTTTTTTTTCTGGATGGTGCTGAGAAGGAGAACCTGCCCCCCCTGAAGAAGATGCTTGAATTGTAAATGTTTCTTCCGGGGAAACGAGTTGAGTGGGTTTGGTTTGATGCCGGACCACCGCAGCAGAACGTTACACATTAGCTGGTGAACACAGCGGAGCTTTCACCGTTAGTTAAGAGGAATTTATTTCCCTCAGCGAGGTGGTGGAGACCAAAGCCTGAGCTAAAAGAGAGAATGCTTGTTTCACGTTCATCATTCTGTACGAATGAATAACTTCCACAAACCAAAGAACAAACGAGTCACTGCAGGTGTCAGAAATGCGTCAGTGAATGAAGAGACATGAGCTGACGACGTGACTCACGCGTTCGTCCAGTCCGCACCGCCGCTGGTCCGTCTCCGTCGGGGTAAACGGGCGTGATGGAAATCTGGTACTCTGTATCCGACAGCAGGGGCTGCAGGACCAGGCTGTTCTGACCCGCGGGGGCCATCCTCTGCAGAACAAACACATTCAAAAAGGGGAATAAACATTCGGCCGATGCTTTGAAGGCCAGAGCCTCCCACGTGGGGCCGCCATCAGGCCGCCATCAGGTCTCCATCAGGCCGCCATCAGGTCGCCTCTTGATCTGGATCCTCAAAGGACCTTCCAGGGCAGCGGCTTCACTGAGGGGGTTCTGCACATGTGTGTGTGCAGCACTCTGTTCCTAAACCTGTGAAGACGTTGCGATCCTTGTTGAATTGTACTTTGGGGAAGAACCAAATATCTCCTTTTTGGATTTGATCCCGATGGCCTTGGCGTTTCCTTCTCTCCTCGTAGCTCTCTGATTGGTTCCCAGGGAGAAGAGAGGTCAGAGAGGGTCGACTGTGTGTGTTTTAATTGTTTGGGTCGCGGCTTCCATCCTATTCATTCATTTGGATTCTGCTCTCGGTTCTGAGGTCCGACGTATTCTCCTCCGCAGTCTGCAGGAGATGCGCTTTTACGTGCAATCAGCAGCCATGTGGCGGTGTCCTGTTCCCTCCTCACCTGGTCCCTGGAGCCCCCATCAGTCCTGCAGCGAGTCTGCTCTTTGTTTAGCTCTACTTCCCCGTCTACATTTTATCAAGGATCATCTTTCTGTTTGAATCAGACCCACAATGCAGCTTCCTTTTCATTCTCTGAAGATGGGATTCATTTCTTCCCGTTTTCTCTCTGGGTTTTTGATACCATGTATTTTACCTCGAGGAAAACATTTTCAAACTGTGTCAGTCTGTCTTGCGTTCTGAGCATGTTGAGTCTGGCCCGACTCCGTCCACAAAATCTCAACCCCCCCAAAAAAGACTATGCGTTCCCTGACACGCCAGTCAGACAAACACTGCAGGCCTTGACAAATCAATTTTCGCCCAGAATGATGAAAAAGGCAGAAACTCTCTAAAACCATCTCCCTGAAGCTGCCTCGGCGGCTCGGAAATGCAAACACGCATTCATTTGCTATTTGTAGGATTCAGAAACCCAATCTAGTTTAGACGGAGGCCCAGAATATTAAGTTAATATTAAGAAGGTGAGCTGGTGGAACATGGCTGCAGGGATGGGAGAGTGTTTAAGTGACTACTGGGAGCAGTATGCTTGCACCAGCGGACAGGCCGCGACCGCTACCACTACCCCCCCGGCCCCGGAGGTAGAACCATGGGGAGAATCACTGAACGGGTTAACGTTTACGTCCCAAACGCTGGCTTATCTTTGGTCTCTCCTCTCGTCTTATTGGCTGCTCAATGCTCCACCCCCCTCCCCCAGGTGGTCTCTAGCAGGTCCTCACCCATTGCTGCCCCCGCAGGACGGAATCAGGTGGTTTTTCTGTCTCCGGGGGGGGTCAAAGGACTTGAGGAAGCCAAGAGAAGCCACAGTTGACTTGAATATATCAGACCCCTTTTTTCCGTCTGCTGTTGAATGATGACGAGGTGGTTTTAATCGTTTCCGGAGAAGATTACGGCATAAAATCTCTAATTTAAACAGATTCAATACGATTTGCTTCTAACTGTGAACTTGTCTGGTGACTTATCAACAGAGAGGAAAGAGGAAGCGAGTGAGAGAGATCGCTTTACGATTACATGGTTTTAACGCTTGTCGCTGGTTGCTGTCCCTCCTTCGGCCGACACAAACCACAGAGCGGAAGTCGCTTTGATCCAAACCCGGGATGAAGCTGATGGTGCTCAGTGATTCGACCCGACCGGGTTGCATCAGAACCCACAGCTGTTCACACTTTGATAAGACACCTCATTCAACAAGGCGCCGGTGCGAGCAGCTGGTGGCTCATTGTGGGGGGGGGGGGGGGTCTAAGGTGGGACACACAAACACACACCTGCATCACATCACATGGTCTGCAAAATGAGGGATTTTCTAGAGACCACGTGGTCTATTAAGGTATCAAGTATTTGATAGCATCAAAGGTTCTCTTCAACTGTGAAGTATTTGATCACCTACCGACCAGTAAGAATTCTCCGTTTATCTTCAGGAAGTCCTCCTGCTCTCCACTCATTACCTGTATCAACTGTTGGAACTTGTTACAAAAGACACCTGTCCACACACATCAAACAGACTGCTCCATGGCAAAGACCAGAGGGCTGTGTGAGGACGTGCTGAACAAAGTGAGCTCAAGCTTCTTCCTTATCATAAAATACCTATAAAACATTCTGCCTGCTTCTCATTTGAAAAGCTGAGACGCTATATCTTCAGAAATGGAGGTTAGTGACAGTCTGGGCACCATAGGAACAAAGTAACAAAGGGTTATGTGAGCATGTGAATGGTCACCATATACTCCCATGATAATGTCCTTTGCCCAGATACATTTAAACATGATGAATATTCTAATAGGTGTAAGAAGCTTTCAGATTCTGTATTCCACTTCCATGAGGTGTCCAAAAGAAACGGTGGTGCTCTCGGTCAGCTGGCATCCAGTGGAAGAACCACTGGTTTGTGTATAAATGAACAACAGTGGATTCATGAGGCTCAGAACCGATGGTATCGGTGTGTCTCCAACGGCCTTTAAAACACTGATAAATCAGTGAGACGGTTTCCAGTAACGTCCAACGTGTCGTAGAGGTTAGAAAACAAACGTTTGGTGAAACTCCTGAAACAGTTTGACCTGAAGGAGTTGAAGCAGAAGTTAGAGAACGTCAGCAGACGGCGTCGCCCACCTGCTCCTCCGCCCGGTCTCCGTTGGCGCTGACGTAGCTCAGCCGGTAGTGCCGGACGTTCCTGGGGTCCATGGGCTGCCAGGCCACCCGCATGCTGAAGGTGGTCTCCTCATCCACCCTCATGCTCCTGAACCCGTAGCGAGGAGCTGGAGCATCAGTGACAGAAAACAAGAACTGTTGGTTCACATCGGGATCGCAGCGAAGTTCGTACCTTCGCAGGGGGACGATACGCCGCCGAGCTAAAGACGCTAAAACAGCGGCCGGATATTTGCGCCATCTTGAACCCTTGTGTTGACCTAATAGTCAATGTCACCTCCATCATCTCTATGCTTGTTTTATGGAGAGAAACGTTCAGGTTCAAAATGCAAGGAAAGGAGGAAAGAGACACAATCGCACATCTGACTTTAACTCTTAAACCAACACCTTCGTTTTAAAGTGTCTTTACAGACTAACTGTTAGTACTGATGCTCCGATTAAATGGACTTTGGCCATTTTATGCAAATAGGAAGGGCAACGACAGGAAGGAGGGGATTGTTTACTTGCTGAGGTGGTGGTCGTCGTGGCGACTGTGGTCGTTCTCTCGACTGAAAACAGAAAAAAACACATTTTATTGAAGTGATTCATTGAAACCGAACGGATCGTTCAAGGATCATTGTGCTTTGTAGACATAGGACCGAGGGGCTTCTGCGTACCGGTGGACTCGACCAGGACCACGTCGTCGCTCTCCGCCTCGTTGGCGTAGACGGCGGCGAGGAGGACTTCGTACTTGGTGGTGGGGGAAAGTCCCAAGATCAGGTAGCTGTTGATGTCTCCGTTCACCAGAACCTGAGCCACGAACGTCCCAATTACACGTCCAATACGACAATCAAATGAGACCTTTCACGCTTAGAAATACACACACACACACACACACACACACACACACACACACACACCTCTTTGCTGTCTCCTCCGTCCGAGGCCGTCCAGGAGAGTCGGTACATCACCACGTCGGAGGCCGGGTGTTGCCATGACACCCTGAATCTGTCGGTGGAGATGTCACTGCTCCTCAGATCCTGCGGCTCGGGGACGGTCTCTGCGCACACAAACACCCGCCGTCAATAACCTGCCCGGCTCGCCTCGCCAGCCGAGTTTGCCATTCAGTGACTTTCTCTGTGCCTAAAATGCTGAGCTGCTGCCGTAGGTCCCTACTCGTGGTGAAGCTGTTGGTCGCGGCCTCGGCTTGTCCCTCGTTGTAGACGGCAAAGACCCCGACTGTGTACTCCGTCAGCGAGGTCAGGTTTCTCAGCAGCCAGGCGGTCACACGGCCAACATCCACCTGCGGAGAAAGGACCAGTGAGGGCTTCGCGCCTCAGTGTCCGTCCCAGAGAAACGGCGTGAGGGAAGAGACCTTCTCACCTCGTTGGTCTGGACTCCGTCGGTCTTGACGTACATGATGCGGTAGCCGTTGGCCTTCCCGGAGGCCGAGTCCCACGTGAGGCGGCTGGAGCTGTGGTCCACGTCTGAGAAACGCAGGTTGGTCGCAGGAGTCAGCGGCACTGAGGCGGGAAGAGACGAGGCCGAGGGTGAATGTCCGTAACCTTCCTTTTCTGGACTAACAGCGTTCTGAAGGACTACATTTGAAGGAGGTCTCTGGCAGAGACCTGTCAATCAGCGCGTAGCCCCGCCCTAAAACACCTCCTGCTCCATGATCTGTTTGACTCTAAATGGACCATAATTCACTAAATGAACATCATGATGTGTTGAAGAAGACTTGAAACTAGAGACTGAGACCATAAACTCATGTTTACAATGTTTACTGAGGGAATAAATCCAGAGAGAAGTAGAGTCATTTCCTCATAGACGTCTATGGGAGCAGAGGAGTCGCCCCCTGCTGGTCACTACAGAGAAGTAGAGTCATTTCCTCATAGACGTCTATGGGAGCAGAGGAGTCGCCCCCTGCTGGTCACTACAGAGAAGTAGAGTCATTTCCTCATAGACGTCTATGGGAGCAGAGGAGTCGCCCCCTGCTGGTCACTACAGAGAAGTAGAGTCATTTCCTCATAGACGTCTATGGGAGCGGAGGAGTCGCCCCCTGCTGGTCACTACACAAAATGCAGCTTTAATACATTTCTCTCTCCCTCTTGATACCAAACCTTTTAGAAAATACAAGACTTTTATTAAATGTTACATTGTTTGTGAACAAATCAAATAAACTTCTGTTGAGTCTTGATTAAAATACAGCCCAACAAACTACATTCCAGTCGTAGCTCAGTCTCTGATGGCATTTTCCAGGTATCTGTTGCCTCAGAAACGAGTCGGCCACAGAGCTGCTGATCCAAAGGCTCAAAGGATCGTTGAGTTTGGACTTATTAAGTGGTTTCACACACTCGCGTGGGTTGGACAAAGGTCGCTGGAGTCCACTATTTTAATCGCAAAGTGGGCCGTACCTCGATCGGCCTGTGCTCCCTCTCTCTGCTGCAAAGGTCTGAAACCACCTTTTTAATTCAGTCTGGGAATCGGATTTACTCTCAGAAACGTTGGAATTACCGGCCTATTTTTTTTCTCTCTTTAAATCCTGATTGCACCCGGCATCGGCTCACCTCTATTATGCTGCGGGTCAGAATAAAGACAAAGCTGCAGAGGGAGGAGGAGGAGGAGGAGACTGCCTCTGCTGCAGGTCACACCAAGGTCAGCCAGGCAGTCGGCAGAATGGGAAATTAGAAAGTTTAGAGATAGTTCTCCAAAGTTTCCAAACAGAAATGGCCGCCCATTCATGAGCAGGTGGGACGACTCTGCTCATCACTTCTAGATCTTCAGCAAACTTTTCCAATCACAAGGTTTCATCTTTTGCTGAACTCAAGGCTTCAAGAGAGCAGCGAAGCGATGAGCGACAGCTTCCTCTTCCTCTAGAAGGTCTGGAAACAACAGGATTTTATCATGGAATCAATAAAGAAAACAAAGAATCTACTAAATTGTCTTTTTTGTGCATATTTTGTGATTGTGTGAGCTTTTATAAAAAGTGAAATCAGCTCGTAGTCACCACAGCGAATATGAGAAAGAGCCTCCAGCTTAAATGTCCATGGAGCTGCTTTTCTTATAATAACATCGGTCTTTCTTCTTCTCTGTAGAATCATCGATTAAGTTCCTTTCGTCAGTGATCGAAACGATGGATTATTGACATGAAGAAAATCAGAAAGCCGTCAAAAACCAGGAAAAAGGGAAGCCGATGTGATTGCTGAAGATTAGTGCGGTTCAGTGTTTCTGTTTACATCCAGTTTGTGTCGGCAGAAGGACAACGAACAGGAACGAGGTGGAAAACAGTCTTATTTTTCTCTGCGTTCAATGTCTGTAGAAAAAGGCCCAAACGTCATGTGATGAATGAAATATGTGCAGAGTTCATCAAATCGGATGTTCTTCAGAGGTCCGTGGGGCTCATTGATGATGTCACAGTGATCTTCATATTTACTGAGTGTGAGTTTGTTTCCATCTCTGTGACAAACAATTTCTCTTTAAACACTGAGAATATTTTCAGGCCCAACTCAGAATTCAGTACAAGTCTCAACTTTACAAACAATAAGAGACTTTTTAAATGTTGTTTTTCATTTGGAACATGTTAGTTATTTAGACTATTTAAAGCAACCAGGTGGTTTAATAACAATATAGATCAGTTTTCAATGGTGACGATTCAAGTTTAAGTATTTATGGAATTGATGTATCTCATATTGGGCCTAAACTGGAGTGATCATCATAAGATCATAGAAGGAATGACATGAAGCTCTTTGTTGAAGCTACTACATCATCTGGACTAAAGCAAAAGCCCTCATTGGTCTAATGACCTGTCAATCACAGTGAGCCCGGCCTTTAGTACTTGGGTCTCCAGTTATTGATTGATAGATCAGATCATTGAGCGTGTGAGACTCACGTGTGGTCTGCTGGCTGGTCATGGGGTCGCTGGCCTCCTCTCCGTACAGGGCGTAAACCGTCACCGTGTACTCCGTGGCCGGCGTCAGTCCTTCCAGCTCCACCACGTTCACCGTGTCCTCCACCTTCACCTGCACGTGTAATAATATTGTTATCTCGTCATTCGTCTGTCACGTCGGTGAAAGTCGCTCCATCATCAAAGACGAAGCTTAAAAAAAGAAGGTATTTCCTTATTAAAGACCTCAGTTCATCTTTGTGATTAAAGCGTAAAGCTGCATTCTGTGTAGTGACCAGAAGGGGGCGACTCCTCTGCTCCCATAGACCAGTGGTCCCCAACAACCGGGCCGCGGACCGCTACCGGTCCGGACCGCACCACAGAATTCTTTTTTTTTTTCTGAAAAAGCATCTCCTGATTTACGGTAGACGCCTGTCAATCAGCGGGTAGCCACGTGACCCGCCCTGTTTTTATTATTTTGGGGCAATGAGCTTCCTCCTCATTTAACCCTCCTGATTCTGATGCTTTCGCCTCTTTTCTTTCCTTTGACCTCTGAGGTCAGTCGGCGTCTCCTCTGATTGTTACTCGACGATGATAAGAACCATTTGCTCTGGACCACCGGATGAATTCCTACTTCCTCACTGATCATCATGAAGAGCTTCGCTCTGCTTGACATGCAAAGAGAAACCGCACAAAGGGCGACATCAGAGCGACTTCCACCCCGAAGCCCCTCGGTTACACCGGGCCGATTCAAAGCAACGCCACCGGGACCGGTCACAGAACCACACCCACTGCGCCCAAAGAACAAAAACCCAACACACACACACACAGACACACACAGACTCACCTCCTTCTCGTCCGCGGGTTCCCCCCCCGTCAGCGGAGCGTAGAGGATCATGTACCCAGAAGCCCCGGCGGCCGCCATCCAGCGCACCGTCATGGTGCTGTGAGAGATATCCAACAACTCCAGGTCGTTGACCATCGGCAGCGCCACTGCACACGCAGGCACACACGCACACACACACGCGTGAGAACATACAACGCTACACACATCAACATGGACGTTGAATTTGACACATAATGAAGTCTTCCTTTCAAACTTTAGCTTCAATAAGTTCAAATAATATCAAAATACCCGGGAGGGTTTAATCAAAAAATACTTTTTAATCCAGTTCTTTCATCCAGGCGTCTCGTCGCGTTATTCGTTATTTTCTTTCATATTTTATTGCTGATTGTCCCGTCCAGGACTGCGCTTACTTTATTCATTTGGTCTTTGCACTTAATTTGCCATTTAAAATATGAAAATAATGATCAGAATCCTGCTCCTTTGATCCTACGAGTCCCGCCCCCAAAACCGGCATCACTGTTTAGCATCACGTCTCAGGCGTTGCCGTGGAAACGGTCCAGCTGGGGCGCCGTTAGCTCTCTCACAAGGGCGACCTGCGGCTCGTATTCGGGGGGTCGGGGGTCGGGGGTCGGGGTGTCCTCATGTCCCCTCAGACCAACAGGACGTCTGCTGTCTGTGGCTTCAGTTTATTCGTTGGCGATAAATATATTGTGCTCTACGACGGAGGAAGGACCAGAATGCACTGCAGCACGTTGGCGCCTTGGACAAAGAGCTTCGGGAGTGAGTCACAGGTGGTACATTATTGGGCGATAACGTTCAGCAGCTGTTCACACTGACCCAGTCACTCAAAGTAACACGTTCGATTTCTTTATCTGCTAATGTTAATAAAGTTAATGTTAATAAAGTTAATGTTAATAAAGTTAATGTTAATAAAGTTAATGTTAATAATTGAATATACTATTAACCGTAACCCCCCCGTGCACATTGAAGAGAGAAGCTCGCCATCGTCTCACATCAGCGGAGCCACCGGCGAGGCGCTACTGTTAGCTGGACGCTAAGAAGCTTAAACCCGCGGTGCCCTCCGACCTCTGCTGCCGGAGCAGTGGGCGGAGCTCCGAGTACGCAGGCCGGGACAGGGTCGGCCTCCCGGGTGAAAGACTCACGGGTGGTGGCGCTGCCTCTCAGCGCCTCGCTGGCCGAGCTCCGGTACACGGCGAAGACGGCCAACTGGTACTCCGTCAGCGAGTTGAGGTAGCTGAGCTCCACGGTGTTCTCCGCCCCCTGCACCACCTGAGAGACGGAACACAGTGTGAAGCCATGCACCACCCGAGAGACGGAACACAGTGTGAAGCCCTGCACCACCCGAGAGACCGAACACAGTGTGAAGCCCTGCACCACCCGAGGGACGGAACACAGTGTGAAGCCCTGCACCACCTGATAGACAGAACAGTGTGAAGCCCTGCACCACCCGAGAGAGAACACAGTGTGAAGCCCTGCACCACCCGAGAGACTGAACACAGTGTGAAGCCCTGCACCACCCGAGACGCCTCCCACTGAGGCGACATCGGGGGGTTTGTTGAGTAAAGGAAAAAGGGACCTGAATAAAGGTTTTTTAATAAACCGCGTACCTTTTCCTCCGGCCGCCCCCCGCTGGCCGGGTAGTACACCACCCGGTACTTCTCCACCTGGCCCGGTGCGTGTGTCCACGTCACCCGGAAGCTGCGAGCCGTAATGTCAGAGGTCACCAGGTCGCGGGGCGGAGCCATGGCGACGGGCGGGGGGGCCGGGTTTCCCTCCACTGCAGGAAAGGGGAGGAAGAAGAAAACGTATTTTATTGACAGATCTGGAGGCTCCGCCCTTCAAATCCCGCCCCCTCAACATGAATAATGGATCACAAGCTGAAACCACTGCTGGTTCCTTTCTTCTTCTTATTTCCATAACAGATCAATGAGTGAATCCGACCTTTGATCTGCTTGTCCAGATGCTCCACCCGCTCACACACCGTCTGCGTGAGACTCTCCACGATGTCGCTCATCACGCTGAAGTCGGCCACATTGTACACGTGAGTTTCCTCGGGGGGAGACGCGATGGCCTTCAGCTCGTTTTCATCGGCGTTTTTCACACCTGGGGGGAAGGAGGGGGGGGGGGGGGGGCTGTAATCTCATAACAGATGTTTTAATATTTCTGTGACTGGTCTTGATTTCACTGTAAACATCGGCGGCCCCCTGAGGACTTCGCGCGTACCGATGGCGAACAGTTCGATGCCGGCCTCCCTGAGGCTGCGCGCGGGAGGGATGACGTCATCCTGGGACTTCCCGTCCGTGATGAGAATCCCGATCTTGGGAACGCCGGGCCTGGACCCGGACTCGGGTTTAAAGCTGGTCTCCAGGATGAAGGTGAGAGCCAGACCTGCAGACCACAGAGGACCGATTATGAAGACAAAGGCCGAGAAACAAGAGACTTTCCAGAAGAGAAGCTCATTTAAAAGCATTGATTTACTTTGTGATTAAGTTTGGAGCTCAGAAATGAATAAAAAAGGGGTGAAGCGGCTTCAAGGTGAAAATCTCATCGCTCCCAAAATCAGAATCGAGTCCCTGCCCCCTATTTTATTATCTTTATAATTACTATCTTTTTTGATCCTTTGAATATTATTTGGACTATTTTTTAATTGAATTACTTGATGAATTATTACCCTCAAAGTTCCATCGAAAGGCAACTTTATTTTTTAGTTTTACTAAAAAAGATTCTGATATATTTTATATATATATAAGAAAAGATCCAAAGCTTCCTGTATGTCATCGTCACTGGTTATTGCCTGTCAGCGTGTTCCCTCCTTTGTACGGCAGGTTCTTCACCGCCTCCATCACGGCCGCTTTGGTGCTGTGAGTGTTGAGGTGCCACTCGATCCGCGGGTCTCCGCTGTACTGAGCCAGACCTGCACACCAAACACACACACACACACACACACACACGCGCACACGCACACACGCGCACACGCACGCACGCACGCACACACACACACACGCACACATAAACACACACACACACACACACGCACACACACGCACACACACACACACACACATAAACACACACACACACACACACATAAACACACACACACACACACACACACACACACACATAAACACACACACACACACACACACACACATAAACACACACACACACACACACACGCACACACACGCACACACACACACATAAACACACACACATACACACACACACACACACACACGCACACACACGCACACACACACATAAACACACGCACACACACACACACACACACGCACACACACACACACACACATAAACACACACACACACACACACACACACACGCACACACACACACACACACATAAACACACACACACACACACACAGACACGACGAATAGTGGTGTTAATTTATTTCTACAGAATCATGTTTTGGATGAAGCTCCTGGAGGACGGGATCCTCACCGATCCTGGTCTTGTCGAACTCCACCGTGAAGGCCCTGACCAGGTTCTCCAGGAAGGTCCTGACGAGCCGGAAGTTGATGCGCCCGATGCTCCAGGACCCGTCCACCAGGATGACGATGTCCGATACGGCCGGAGTCCTGCACATGAACTCGTCCTCCACTAGAGCCCAAGACACAGAACCACAGTATTCTCAGTGTCCCCTAAGATGTCCCCTCAGTGATCCCTTAAGATGTCCCCTAAGATATCCCCTCAGTGGTCCCCTAATATGTCCCCTCAGTGGTCCCCTAATATGTCCCCTCAGTGGTCCCCTAAGATGTCCCCTCAGTGATCCCTTAAGATGTCCCCTAAGATATCCCCTCAAAGGTCCCCTAATATGTCCCCTCAGTGGTCCGCTAACATGGTCCCCTCAGTGGTCGCTTAAAAATGTCCACTAAAATGTCCCCCTCAGTGGCCCTTTAATATTTCCCCTAAGATGTCCCCTCAGTGGTCCGCTAAGATGTCCCCTCAGTGGTCCCCTAATATGTCCCCTAAGATGTCCCCTCAGTGGTCCCCTAAGATGTCCCCTCAGTGTTCCCCTAATATGTCCCCTCAGTGGTCCGCTAAGATGTCCCCTCAGTGGTCCCCTAATATGTCCCCTAAGATGTCCCCTCAGTGGTCCCCTAAGATGTCCACTAAGATGTCCCCTCAGTGGTCCCCTAAGATGTCCACTAAGATGTCCCCTCAGTGGTCCCCTAAGATGTCCACTAAGATGTCCCCTCAGTGGTCCCCTCAGCGGTCCCGGGGGGACTGGACACCATGGAGCTCCAGCCACACACAGGAGGGCAGTTTAACGCGCTGCTACAAAGTGTTTCATTAATCAGCTCAATTAAACCTGCAGGAGCTCAGGTGCTTCCGTTCAGCAGGTAGATAATAACCCCCCCACGGCCCCCCGGATCCCCGGCCCCCCGTTGTTCTTCTCCAACGAGCCAAACTTCACTTACTGAAGTTTGGGACCAACCATCTCTGCAGTACTGCTGACGTGCTGTTGAGCAAAGCACTCAAACTGTGGTGGAGCAGCAAGCAGGAACAGCGAAGGAAGCGACCGTCACATATTTCACTCTGGTGATCGAGGTGTAAAAGGTCAAAGGCCAAAAAGTCCAAAGTCAAATAGAGCAGAGAGCCGTCCGTCAAACAACGCTCAAGAAAACTTAACTTTGATTGGCGGGATTTTAACCTCCACCTCCATCAGAAAAGGTCTCGTTCAGGTTGCAGCAAGTTTTAGCATCTCGGGGAGGCGGAGAGCGCAGTGCGTGTGTGTGCGTGTACCTGTGTACGTGTGTGCGTGTGTACGTGTGTGTGTGTGTACGTGTACGTGTGTGTACGTGTGTGCGTGTGCGTGTGTACGTGTGCGTGTGTGTGCGTGTGTCTGCGTGTGCGCGCTGCACATTCTCCAGCGCTCGACCCGCTGACGGTTCTACAGGTCTGAACACCGTCGGTATTCGTCTTCCAGCTCGCTGCTGTCGGCGTGCGGATATTTGTCTATCGGCTCGGTTGGTGCAGCCGGCGTGTCGGCAGTTGGACGGACTGAAGGCGTCTCCTCGGTCCCTCAGAAGAGGACAAAGCAGCAGCTTCAACCACAATGGATCAAACGTCCACGGGAAGCACGTTGGCTTTAGCCGCTACGCAGCGACTCGGCGATCCGATTAGAAGACAAAATGAAACGCGATCGACCTCCTGATCTTTACGCGATAAAACCGCTGAGACAAAAACGCGTTAACGCATCGCAAACTCCACCAACGGTTTGTCTTCTGCATGTTGGGGAAGACAAACCCGCGAGAGGATTCCAGGAGAGAAGCACAAACGCTTCAGAGCACTAAGTGAAACAAGGACAAACCGTCTGGAGGACACAAAGGGAAAAGGAGGAGAAGACGGACTACTGGAGTTCCTCTCTGCTCCATCCACTGATCTTCCTCTTGGCCTCTAGTATTGTCTTCACGAAGAAGACGAAGCAAAGAGAAGGAGCTCCAGAAGAACCTCAGGGATCAGCCGCAAATCTGAAGACGAGGTCACGGCTCCACAGCGGGAGATTTATAGGACGAGTTCAGCCATTTGAGAAAGAGAGAGACAGACGGAGACGTCCACTTTGTTAAAGCGCCTCCAACGAGCTGAACATGCTTCCTGTGTGCTGTGAGAAGATGGTTGAGGTGTGAGATATGGAATGTGTGAGCAGAAGGAAACGGATCTCCGGTTAATCACAGCGACTTGTTGCGTTTACCTGCTTCGTGACGAGACATTAGGAAATAAGAGACGTTTGATTGCGTCGTGAGACAACAAAGTGTCCTCTGACTTCTGCCATGAGGGACATTCCCCGACGAATCAAATGTCCCCACCAGGATCGATGTCCAGCGCCGAACCCGAGCGGGACACGAGGAGGCACCGGCCGTTATTCCAGGGGTCAAAAGGTCACCGTGGGGCGGAACCAACGATCATTCACCTCGAAATCCTCGAACCACGGGAACTAAAACTCAACTACAACGCGAGCGGCGAGACACAAACAACAACGAGGAGCTGAGGAGAGAAACCCTGAAGCAGAGACACAACAACATGTTAACGGCAAGGTGAGCACTCTCTCCATCGGAGCCTTTGAGCAAGGCACCGGGGCTCCAAACGCTGGTCTCCGCGGGGAGACTGAACTCCAGCTGTCTTCATCAGGCTGGATGGACACGTCTCAGAGGTTCCACTCATCACGTCTCCGCCTGGGGGGCCGAGATCAGCGGGTAAAACACATGCGTGTAAATGTCCCGAGTAACTGCGAACTAATTCCATGTCACTTCTCAGCCTCCACTTGAGAGAACCATGCAGAACACGCTAAATTACCCAAAATGCATCATTAGCAACACGTTCTTGCTCTTGCCGTATTAATACCTCCTTACGGATGTAGTTGGTGTAATATGAACATTATATATATATTATATAATATATATTATATATATAATATATAATATATAATATATATTATATATATTATATATAATATATATTATATATATTATATAACATATATTAATATATATTATTATAAATATATATATATATATAATATATGTGAGCTCCTTTATTAATCATAAAAAGGAACAGTTGATGACATGATTCATCGTCGACCCGGCGACGGGACCTGCACAGTCGCTAGTAAACAGCCAGCTCTCGTTGACACATCACATCCACAGGTACACCGCCACCTGTGTGTGTGTGTGTGTGTGTGTGTGTGTGTGTGTGTGTGTGTGTGTGTGTGTGTGTGTGTGTGTGAGAGACGAGAGGGAAGGACCATGTTTTTATATTTGTTTCCAGTACTCCGCTAGCCAGAGAAGAAAAAGCGGAACCAAAAACACCGGTTTCCCCCGCTCTCCACACACACACACACGCACGCACACACGCACGCACGCACACACACACACACACACACACACACACACACACACACACACACACACACACACACACACACACACACACACGCACGCACACACGCACACACGCGCTGAAGAACCCAACAGAGGTTCCGTGACACTTGCATGTGAGAGAACGTGAGAGGAAAGAACAACTCGCTCTTTGTGAAACTGGGCTCCTTTTCCCTCAAAGATGTCGCCGCGTTCACAGAAACCTCCCCAGTAAACGACGCTTGTGTGTCACCTTCACTTACGCTTCATTACATTGTTTCATCATAATTACATTTGCTTTGGGGCAGAAGCTGCAGAGAGATTTGAACATTGCTTTTATGTTTATGTCTTTATATTATTTTCTGACTAAATAAACCAGCGTCTGACATTTGACGGGCACACGGTGAAAATAAGAGCAGTACTATTAGTGCTAGTACTACTAGTAGTACTAATAGTAAAGTCAGCAGCAAGTACACATCTACACGAATAAACTCCGTTGTGTATCCAACAGGAATCCTAATGAACCAACAGGAAGCCGCCGCTGCTTCACAATAAAAGCTTTGAGCAGGAAGTGCTGGTCCGAGGGGGACGATGGACGAAGTGATGGACAGGAGGACATGCGTCATCATCCAGTCAGACAGTCGTCTGCCGATCAAACACCATAGAGAGTGAAAGACACGAGACGGGAGAGTGGGAGCCGGCGACTAAGAAGCAGTAGAAACAACGTTAAAGCAGGAGGCTTCGTGCCAGCGGCTCAGAGACGAGGTCCTCGGGCCGCCATGGAGGCAGACGCCGGCGCGTCGCCCAGCGATCCCAACGTCACTACTCTGCGTCACAAATTGACTGATTACGGTACTTTGAAATCATCTTTAAAAGATATAAAGGATCCGTTGAGCTGGAATGATCTACACACACACGATGACTTCATTAAAGGTTTGACTCGGTTTTCTCCTTTAATGAGGAAACGTTTCATTCACGTCCTCCTCCATAGAAGTAAACAGACTCCCGTCTCTAATCCGTTGGAAGAAATGAGTCTTCACATCTTGTCCCATCGCAGACAACAAACCTCACACATCAGAGATCATCTCATCGCCTTCTGAGGGACGTGAAGCTTCTTCTCACCAATAAGAGTCAAAGTGAAAGAAATGAAAAAGGTTTCTGCAGACTGAGCTTTCCATCTCCACCGTCTGCTGATCCACACGCCGTCCCTCCAGACCGCCGGGGACACGTGTCTCCAAGCGAAGCGTCACGGAGAATCGCGCGCAGACGCAAAGGAAGAGTGCGTTCTGTCACCTCCGCCGACCTCCGCCCTCCAGCAGCGGACGTAGCTCAGACCGACGCAGGTGAACTTCAACGAGCCGGATTCCAAAGGCGTGAGACGGATGTGAGAGACGAGACAAGCCCCCACCCGCCCGGAGACGCCCTGGAACGTGAGCCAACAGGGATCCAGCAAACGGTCCCGCTGCTTCCTGGAGGCTTTCAATCGGAGACGAACCGTCTCCTCAAGGACGTCCCGCTCCCGCTGCGAGAGGACAAACGTTTGTCTCACAGGACGTCAATCAACTACAGTTTAACTGGATGAAGAGACAGATGCCAAAAGGAAGGACAGACAGGTGTCAGATTACCGTCCGTCCTTCAGCCTGGAGAGGACGGACGAGGCAAACGATGCTTTAAAGAAAATTACAAAAAGGTCTGATCGATAAATAAAATGAGCAAATTATATCTTGACACATTTTTTTTTCAAACATTTTAAAACTTTTTTTGACCGTGACATTATTTGACCGTTCTTATTTTTTTAATTTAATTTTCTTTCAAAACATTTAAGACATTATCTTTTTGAACTTGTCTCCCGTGATGTTTTCCGACCCTCCACGTCGGCCTGTGAGGAGGACGCTGCATCCAGTCCCATCGGACCGATCGAACACTTTAAACGCAAAGTAGAGAGGAGACATGTGCTTCAACTAAAAAGAAGACAGGAGAAGAGGGACAGGGGTAGATGGTCTCCGTCCCCTGAGAGGGCAGAGTGACTGAAGACGGCGAGGACAGAAGGTCTGTCTCCATCTGAAGTCGTTTCCTCCGTCCATAAATATATTTAACAAGGAGGAATCCAAACGACATCAGAGAAGGAGACAGAAGTCAGGAGGGAAAAGCAGAGATCTGATGAAGAAACAGGCCTGCAGGGGAGTGTGTGTGTGTGTGTGTGTGTGTGTGTGTGTGTGTGTGTGTGTGTGTGTGTGTGTGTGTGTGTGTGAGTGTGTGTGTGCGCCAAGAAGGTGGTGGTTGGGGTGGAAGTCCTGTGTATATTTAAAAAAGCCACCTTCCTCTCTGGTGTGTGAGGCGTCAACCACGTACCGGGTGGCGTGTGGAAATGACGCCACTTGGGTCTCAGTTGGGAGCGCAGCGTCCCGACGAAGACGACACCTCCCCCCGGGGGGGGGGGGGGGGGAGGAGGACCCGACGGAGGCCCTCCTGGACTTATGCCAACGTTTGGGATTTGGACTCCTCCTCTCCCTCGTTACCCCCTCGCTCCCCCGTCCTGGCACACCGGGCGAAGTCTAGCGCCCGTTTCCAACCATCTGCTGGGTCGGACGTCTGGCAGCAGATCTGTGGACATCTTGGACCCGGGCGGAGGAAGCAGCTGTCCGTGTGACGGAGGGACGGACAGAGGAATCCATCCAATCAAAGCAAAGCGAAAGGACCTTCAGCAGCTCCTCCTCTTCCTCCAGTAGTTGTGTAAAGTCCTTCTCGCGCCTCCAGAACAACTAAACCTCCCGTCTGCTGAAACTTCCCTGTGAGTTTAATCTCAGGTCTTGTTGGAGGACAAAAACAACCCCAGAGGACTCCGCCGCGTAACAGAGGAAGAAAACCAGCGACCGGACGTCTGGTGGCGAGGAGAGCGAAGCCCCGCTGAGGAGCGACGAACCACGAGGACCTTTTGAAGGAAGCTGCAACATGTCCCACGTCTCCGCGGCCACAGCCGGCGTGGTGGGACGGACGGAGAGACGCACTAACGAGGAGACGCAGGGAACCAGAAGCGACGGAGGACTGGTCTCGGGGTCCGAGACATGACTGACGGACGCGTCACATGACCGGCGCTGAAACACCTCCTGAGGGATTTATGGTTGAACTCTTTGGTGAGTCGATCAAGTTCACAAAACAGACGCAGACCAACAGGGTTTCATTCTTTTATGGTACAAAGCAGCTTCGCTGACTGTCGCCGGGTTTCTTCTCTCCGGGTCGAGGCGCCATGACAATCGGCGTGTAAGTGCAGGAATGTTACGCTCGCCGCTCTGCTTCCGCTTCCCAATGAGCGAGGCCAGTTACCATGGAAATAACATCACAAAAAAGCTTTGTCTTCCCCGACAAGACGGGCCGCCGAGGACAAAATGTCTTCTGGAAGGTCTGCCTGCAGATCCGTCTCCTCCCATCACGCGGAGCGCTGTTCTCTGAGGTGGAGCTTCTCCCTCAGTTGGTCTTCAAAGAGAATCTCCTCGAGCAGCAGACGGATGCGTCAATCTTTTTTCCCGTTTCCGCGGCGACGAGCTTACCTTCTGAGATGTCGTTGTCCTCCCGGGCGTCCTGTCTCCGCGGAGACCGAACCACCTCGACGCCGGACTGCTGGGCTGGAAGAGACGACACATGACGCAAGAGTCTACGTTAGTGAGTGTGTGTGGGGGGTGGGGGGGATTGTGTCCGTCCCCCGTGGACTAAAGGTCCTTTTAGAAGAACCCTCGATAAATCTTCTCTACGGCTCTTGTTTACTGAGGCAGGATGAAGAACCTGAGCGGTTTCCTATCCGGTTACAATGTTCTTCGCAGCAACTTTAAGTTCCAACTTTTCTGAAATTCCAAGAATAGAAGCGTCCACAACACGAACCACAAGACAACTAACTGAAAATAAGAGTGTGTTCTTTCATGTAAAAAAAGCCCCTGCTGAGCCTTAGCGAACGAGACGCAGCGTCTTCGGGTCCCAGGAGATCTGCTTCGTATTTAAAGCGGCGCCGGCGGTGACTCGGTCGGGTTGGAGGCTGAAGAGAACAGCGACAACGCAACGCGTTTGTATGAGTCACTCTGCTCCGCCAAACACAAAGACAGCAACGGGCTGTTGCCGAGCAACACGTCAACATTTTCCAGCACACCAGCGTCTCTGGTGTTGACCTGTCAATCAGCGTGTAGCCCCGCCCCAAAGCATCCTCTGCTTTATGGTCTGTTTGACTCTAAATGGACCAGAATTCACTAAATGAACATCATGCTGTGTTGAAGAAGACGTGAAACTAGAGACTGAGACCATAAACTCATGTTTACAATGTTTACTGAGGGAATAAATCAGGAGAGAAGTAGAGTCATTTCCTCATAGACGTCTATGGGAGCAGAGGAGTCGCCCCCTGCTGGTCACTACAGAGAAGTAGAGTCATTTCCTCATAGACGTCTATGGGAGCAGAGGAGTCGCCCCCTGCTGGTCACTACAGAGAAGTAGAGTCATTTCCTCATAGACGTCTATGGGAGCAGAGGAGTCGCCCCCTGCTGGTCACTACAGAGAAGTAGAGTCATTTCCTCATAGACGTCTATGGGAGCAGAGGAGTCGCGTGCTGCAATAGCGACAGCGTCATGTGTGACATGCTGGTTTACTCCCAGAGGAGCAGAAGCTCTCCGTCACCGGCTGCAGAAAGAGGCCATGAAACAGACCCCCAGCAGCTCCGCCATGTAGTTTCCTTCTTGTGTCAAACATTTGAACGAATCACCACCTCTCACCTTGTGCCCATCCAGCGTCAGCTGCCTCCCTCCGAAATATAAAAGTAAAATCATTGGGAAATGTCTCATCAATCAAACGTACGTGCTGATGTGTTCACTCACTCACGGGTCTGAGAAGTCAGTTCGTTTGAGTTTATCTGCTCGTGGCTCCACAGGATATCGTACACGCACACTAATCATTGTTATTGACAAACTGATGTCAGACACAACGACAAGTTGTCTTTTTCTCTCTTTACTTTTTGAAAACGTAATATGAGCGAGTGAAGCGTCGGGCTGCTCGTCTACTTGTCCACCAACACAAAGCGCAACAACACAAGCAGAACACACAGAGCACAACTGGAACGCCACTAAAACGTGTAGTGCTGCTGTGGCGCAGCCAATCAGTGATGTCACAGCGAGTATCCTGCCAATCACAGGCGGCGGGACGAAGCCCGCTGTGACATCACTGATTGGCGCGGCTGGAGGTCCCATGAAGACGTGTCCATCGGCAGCTCTGTGGTTCCGGTCGGCTGCTCCCAGTTACACAACGTAACGCCTGCAGTGTGAAAACAGCCCCAACTGATCCGGAGCATCAATCCAGTTTTTACTGCGGAGGATTTGACTCACCTTCATGTGTGGCCTGCAGGGGTTTGCTCTGCTGTCCTCCGCTGAGCGCGACCACCTTAAAGTTGTACTCTTTGGAGGGGTCAAAGTCGTCGATGAGGAGCTTAGCGTCCTGCTTCGATACCTCAACCTCCTTTTGCTCCCCACCTGAAGAGGAGAGGAAGAGAAGCCGATGATCAGGGAGAGGAATCAAACACAAACCCACGTCTTCATGGCGTCACGTTGCCAGCGTGCTTCTTCCAGAGTGCAGACGTGTGGATGCGAATAGTCGAGTCTGAATGCTAATGGTTGAGACGCCAGAGTTGGCTTCATTGTATGTTTAACAAAAAGGAAAAAAAGGAAAGGAAAAGTAAAACTTGTTATGGAAGAACTTTTCTCCCAATAGAAAACCCTTTTTTTCTTAGCGTATGCAACGACAGCTTGAAATATATTTCACTATACTTATTCAAACCCTCATTATCTGCTACCAACGTACCTTCTCCTTGCAATTAAAAAAGCTGCTCGAGGATCGTTTGCATTCTCCGGCACGGTTTTAAATCTTTGCAGATTGTTCTGTAACTTCAGAGATTTATGCACAAATTAAATCCTGTTTCTGCAGCGAAAAAGACGCTTTCATTCCTAAGGAAGTAAATAAGAGGGAAAGGATTTCCTCCTTCTCTAAGAACCCACGGCTGGTCAAAGGTCACATGGAAATCAGAGACGTCCTCACAGTCGAGTGGAGGACGAGTATTTATTCCTCAGAAAGCCTCAATGAGACGGACAGCTGCTCGGAAGAAAGAAGGATGACAGCTGGGAGTCAAACGTTTAAATGCCGCTGGTTTAGGGGCAGGCGGGTCGAGTCACATCGTCTCCACTGCGTCACCACGCCCTTATATTCAGGGTAAGACATTACAGCTGATTGGTCCTCAGAAGAGCAAACAGTTGACCTGTCACTCAAACGACCACGCCTACTGCTCCCACCCGCCCCCCCCCACCGCCTCAAACTGACATCCCTGAGCGACGAGAGGAGATATATTCACTTTATTAAGGTCCAGACCTCCGGGTCCATCCACTCGCCCCAGTTTACTGACACACAAATACTAGCAAAGGGTAGAAACCGAGAACAACAAAAACAGTCAATAAAACAAGTCGTGTTCTTCCTGCATAACGCGCTTCGCTGTCGTGGCAGCAGGAGGTTTGGTAGAAGTCAGCAGTTTGCAGTCGATCATGTGATGCATTGACCCAATATGCTTCGACATCCTTCTTTTGTGCCATGAAATTCAATTTATCGTTTTTCTTCCTGCTCCGTAATTTCACTGTTGCTGCTGCGGCAGAATAAAAGTCCCCGTTGGGACCAATAAGACAAACTTCATTGAGAAAAAAGACTCCACCGTCTGCTCGGTCAAAAGGAAACCTGCGCATCGGGTCCTTAAAGACTCACAGGAGCATCTGATGACGGATCACGATGGTTTCCATGAAGCTTTCCGTCCAACCAGAGGCGCTGCGGCCACAGACAGGAGGCCATGGAGCTTCTGGTGAGAATCTTCTAGTATCTCTTAGAGCCACGTGGAGCCAAGTGGAAAAACCTCTACGTCACCAAAGCAACGCGGTTTCCAGCTTGAAGCCGACAGCGAAGCAAACTTCAAATCACAAATCAATCCTCTCTCTCCTCGACTCCGTCCTCTATTCCGGTATCTCCCTCTTCTTTAGACCTCATTCCCTCCTGCGTGGTGCTTACTCCACCTTATGGGACCTTTTCTCCATTACCGGGATCAAACACACGGCCAACAGCCGATGGGGGCCGAGGTGGACCTGACCTTCAGACTTGACCTTCAGACCTGACCTTCAGACCTCCCCTTCAGACCTCACCTTCAGACCTCACCTTCAGACTTGACCTTCAGACCTGACCTTCACACCTCCCCTTCAGACCTCCCCTTCAGACCTGACCTTCAGCCCTCAGGCCGGTGCATCCGGCAGAGCGGAGGACAGAAGGAAATGGGACGTCTGTATCTTTGGTCAAAACGTTATCAGTAAAATCACGATTTCTGAAATCGATCGTAAAACGATCGTAAAGTCGTTTTATGGGCGAAACAGAAAAATGTTTTCTTGCCGCATTCTGGAAAAAGTTGTTGATATTTTAAGAGGCGTCCTGATCCCAGGATTTCCATGGTTAGGAATCCTAAATGGAGGGGGTACACTAGCTGTCCCAAACACAGGAACCAGGTGAACCCAGGAAACATCTACTGTTCTACAGATCGACATATTCAACATGTTGTTTTGGCCAAATGACGTCACGATGAGACGTGAAGTCTCGTGAAGTTCTGTCCACTGGACAGCTGCTGGGATAAAATAATAAGAACGTCTGCATGGACAAGACCATTTTCCGTTGAAAATGGATTTTCACAAAGTGCAGGATGTGTAAATGTTGGGAGCAAACAGATCGGCTGTGCAAATGTACATTATCAGAGTCATGATTCAGTTAAAGCAGCTGCAGACTGGCCAGAAAAAGTAGGATGTTCTTCTTCTTTTATTGCATTAGGTGGGAGTTAGTGGGATTTAACTCAATGTGCAAAAAGCCCCCTCGGGGGCCCCCTCAGGGGCCTCTCTCCTTTGCGTGCTGTAACTCAAGTCCTTAACTAAATGAATTCTTGAAGCTGTCCGTCACAGCAAGTGACAGGCAGTTCTCTTTGACTGATTAACCAGAACAGAGAGGAAAGAAAAGCAGCAGAAGATAAAGGATATAAATGTTTGTCGGCTCATCACACTGATATCATTGATACAAGATGATATTTGCTCTCATCCGAAGAACAAAAACAACATTTTCTCATATTTTACTGCAGTAAAAACACCGTGACCTTCTAGACCTGCAGCTTTAGGGCGGGGCTACGAGTTGATTGACAGTTATTATATACTGCGTCCACTACTTATATTCAGTCTATGGAGATGATATTAATAACAAAATCGGTGGTCAACACAAACAACATCCATCAACAGTCACCACACCGGTTCCACTGACCCGCAAACATCAGGACTAATGGTCAAATCCAACCAGAAGAACCTGAACAAAGTCTCTGAACGGGCGATTCAGCTGCACAACCTCCACAGCATCCTAAGTGTACACACCAAACTGTGTGGTATCTCAATGCAATGAGACTAAAGCTGATGAAGACACAAAGTCAGTGTTGGTGCGTGTGGAGGAAGACGAAGAGAAGATAAGGTAACCTCCCTCAGTTCAGACTCTACGCGGCTTAATCACGCTCACCGGGCTCCGACCTTTGCATTCAGAGCGGTTGATTTCCCTCGGCGATGGTTTCACAGCCGGAGCTTCGTTAAACTGGGGAGGCTTTTACCTCCAGACGGTTCTTATGTTTAATCTCCCTCATTGATTTAAATGGGTCACAATCGGGTGTCAGAGTGGTTCCACTCGCTCACAGACCCACTTGAGTTTCCACCTGAAGGGTCAAATGTTTTCCGTTGCCATTAACAAAAGACTACAGACTTGAACAATAAATCCCAACGGTGTGTTGAAACACGGGGGTCCTCAGTGGGCTCCTGTGAGTGCTCGCGTGTCCTTTCCCCAGAACCAGAATGCAGGCAAAACCCAGGAAAAAAAAAGGCGGATTTGTTCTCCCCTGGGGGGGCGGAGGGGAGTTCAACCACTGTGCTCCTCTTTGCATAGCTAGCATTTTTGTCCCACCGGCGAGGGGAAAGCCGTGTAGTAAATAAGGACCGACAGGGTAATGACCTGCGTTCCGAAGGTCATTCTGCTACCCAGGTGCCACATGGGTGCCACTGATAACTATCACGAGGCAGCTACTGCTGAGGAGCCCTTGAGCGAGGCACTCGACAACAGATCCATCACCAGGGCTCGGCTTCCAGGTGTGAATGTAACCGCGTAAACACCAGGCACGGCCAATCAAGTCTGAACTAGAAGGGTTCTGCAGAGAGCAGGGATGGGGAATCAGGATCGGATTACATCTAAACCTCATTCAAACAAGGTGAGCTTCAAAAGAGGACGGCTGGTATCAAGCTCTGGCCTGGCAGCAACCTCCGGTTGTCTTAATGCTGCATTCTCTGTAGTGACCAGCAGGGGGCGACTCCTCTGGTCCCATAGACGTCTATGGGGAAATAACTACTTCTCTCCAGATTTGTTCCCTTGGTAAACATTATAATTTATGGTCTCAATCTCTTGTACTTCAATACAGCATGATGTTGGAAGCTTTAGGGCGGGGTTTACTGTGATTGACAGGCTGCTAACGTCGCGCTGGATGCGTTTAGTTGATGCAAAAAGCCAAGATGGCAAAGCGTCGAACTAAAGGCTTCGAAACATCAGTAAACCCAAAGGGGTGATGTCACAGACACCGAGTCCACTTCTAATCAACATTATTCACCTCCGGTAACGCAAAACAATCCTCGATGGGCCCAAACCCGGCCGGTTCTTCTGTGGTCCAAACGGCGCGGTGCTACAAACAACGCCGCCCGTCGTGAGGCACAGGTGGGCGCGCAGGGTCTTACCTGGTCGCGTGGAGTAAACGACCTTGTAGCTTTCAAACTGTCCCTTCGGCTCCTTCCAGGACACGTGCAGCCGGGTGGGACTCAGGATTTTGGCACGAAATCTCCGCGGTGATGAAACTGGACAGAAAAGGGAAAAAAAGACAGAATAAATAACACGCATTAAGTGTCAGATGTATAATATTTTTAATTATTGCTTGGTCCAAACCACAGATAAGACTTTCTCATCATTAAAAGAATCCACGGTGTCATCGCGCGCTGGTGGATTACACCCATAACAGCGGAGGGAGTTCAATTCATTCTGTCAGATGTTGAATTGAAATCTAAATGAGAGATTTGGCAGAACCGTTTTGGATCATAATAACAGACAACTGTCCTTTTCAGCTCCAATAGATGAATAATAACGTCTGTTTATCCCGTTTTCCCTGCTGACTTTGGTCCGATTGCACCGAATTGAACTCCCCACAGTTATGGCGGCTGAGTCGCTCCATCTGTGCGATTCAAACGGGTCAGAAGATCGATTGTATCTCATCCAAGCAGGAGGATACGCAGACATGAGCTTTGCACAGACGTCACAATGAAAAGCCAAGCCCCATTCTCCTCCTCCTCCTCCTCCTCCTCTTCCTCGCCTCCCATCGGCTCGGTTCTTCTGGGTTCCACTTCCTCTGGCTGACTAGTTGTTGGCCCGTCAGCCCCCTCGGCCCCCCCACACCTTCAGCCTGTATCCTTCCCCTTTTATTTATGTCTGTACGCTCTCCATCCCATCGGCCTTTTATCAGATCCTCATCTCGTTCTCTGTGCTTTGGAAGCATCGGGGGACGAGGAGGACGAGGAGGACGAGGAGGACGAGGAGGACGAGGAGGAGGAGGAATGAATGTGACTTCCTTTTAACTGCGAGGAGGGAAAGGAAGAGGAAGGGCCCCGGAGGGAGGAGGCTGGAATAGCTCGCGGCCGCTATTCCTCTCCAGTCGCAGCAGGAGCGTCGGGATGCGCGGCGTTACAATGAGCCCCGTGGAGAAGGTCCGTCCTGCTGGTGTCACAGGGCGGCGCCGGAGGGAGGCCATTGTAAAGAAGAACGCACTCCCGCACTCCCGCGGCCGCGCGCTCACCTACAAGCTTCCCCATTCATTTAGGAAATACGCAGAAAAATAAAGGAGGAGAAAACCAGCGGGTGGAAAATCAAATATGAAATCCCCAAAGCCGCTCCCGTGTCTGTGTCCTCATTACGAGCGGCGCCATCTGCTGCCGCCGGCGCCTTTAAATACCTCCGCCCTGAAGACGCCAGGGAGCTCTGATGGTAGACGAGAGGCCTGGAGGGACGTTCACCCCAAACAAAGCTCCACTTGGAGGGAGTTTGTGTCGGTTTGCACACGCGTCGGTCCGAATGCACACGTATGAAGCTTAAACATTAACAGGGTTTATTGTGGTGAAGCAGCTCTTCATGCGTGTCCTTGTCTGCAGAAAGAGAACAGGAAGGACGACCCTCATTCCAACGGGGAGCGTGAAGCCGGCGCATTCAACAGCAGACAGATCGCTCTACACACACAAGCAGACATCTCACCAACCTGAGGATCAGAACCAGGCCGGCGTGGAGTCGGCTCCTCGCCGTTTTAGCTCTCGGCGACGTTTCTCTCGTCTGCAGAGAGCTGCTCAGATCCCGAATGACTGGAGAAGCACATCTCTGCACCTCTTTGTTTGTCGTGTAGCTTCAATGTGTCGATTCCAGTGCGTCCACATGCGTGTGCGTGAATCATGTGTCGTTAACGGGAGGCGACCGATGGTGCACGCAAAGATCCACGCAGCTCCGCTGGAGGACGTTTACGTGCCAATCGGGTGCCGCAGCAAAGCAGCAGGAACCACGAGAACTTAGTTCTCATCTTCATGTTTCATGGGAGGCGTCTGTGCAAACGACCAGGTTTGGCGAAAGTAGACGTTTCTATTTACAGGAAACAATGCGTCGCGTCGGGTCGAAGCCTTCAGCAGCGACGGCGAGACGACGCAGGGTTTCTCGTCTCGGCGAACACGGCGCGCACGAGAAGCTGTCTGTCCGCTCGAGTCAAGAGACGTTTTACGCTTTGCGGCAAAATTTCTTGTTAATATGGAAAACCAATTATTTTTCTCTTTCATACGCCCCCCCGACCCCCCCGTGCCCGCGGCGTGTGATTACACTGGCTACGGTGAGACCGGCGCTCTGAGCGAAGCCTCCTGACATCTCGCCACATCCCTTCATGCACACGGAGCTCACAGCGTAGAACCCACTGAGCCGTCTACGACGCTGGTTCTGATGTGGCTCTGCTGGGTCGACCGAGTGGACTTTTAGATTTCGTTATTGGGGATGTTTGATCCCAGCTCGTAACCTCGAGGATCTATAGATCTATAATAACAGGAACGTGTGTACAGGCGAATGACTCCGCCCATCACCTCGTCCTAAGCTCCTCCTCTCAGAGGTGGAGGATCATACGGGACATCGTGTGTTTGTGAAGTGACATCTGTCAATCACTGAATCAATTAAAAGGAGTCAACACGAGCACGCCTCACAGACAGGAAGTGCACCTCACAGACAGGAAGTAGAACACACAGCTGCAGAGGAGGAAGTCAGAAAACTGCTGGATGTTAATTTAAATGTATGTCATTTAATGCGCACGTTAAGCACCGACAGAAATGAAAGTGAAAACTAGGATTTCAAATGTGTAACCTGAGCTACACAGAAAGCTATCATTAGCGTGGCCTGTGAGCCGCCCCCCAGAATAAATATATGAATCAAACACTTTAATTACAGAGTTATGAGAGTAACTGAATTACAGCTCATGGCTTCAGTCCGCCAATGAACCCTGAACCCGTCGCACAGCGAATCCCTGCTAAGCACCATGGGAAACCCCATAGAAAGCTCTATTATAGAAAGCCCTGGTGAACCATGATCAGCGCTGAAAAGAGGGACCAGGCGACCTGCGTGTGGCCTGGTTGACCTTTGACCTTCAAACGACCACTAAAAGCCGAGCTTCAATGAGGAAAAGGTCGACCCTGTTCGGCCGCGTAATGAGGAAAAACAGGGTGGTACCAGCTGGCCACACGACGCCAAACAAACCCCGCCTCCCCATGTCGGCCTTGCGGGCCCTGTCCCATTCGGAGGGGGAGGTACTTACCTTGGCCCTGCGCCGGCTGAGGGAACAGGGAGACGACAAAGAGGCCCAGCAGGCCGAGGAACAGTGAGGAGCGCATCCTGCAAGGGGGGGGGGGGGGTACGGCACACCTGGAGGAGGGGGGAGAAGGTCAGGTAAGGGAAGGTGAGGAGGAGGAAAGGAGAGAGGGAGGAGTCAATCTGTTGTTCCACACACACGTAACCATCGTTACACAATAGTATTGCTCTTAAGCAGCTGCTCAGGTGTGCAGAGGTCACGTGTGAGTGACAGACCGTCGGCTCCAGGTGAGGACGCACAGATCTGACCCCCCCTGCTTTCATCAAATCTTCCCTCTCTCCCTTTGTTTGGTTCGCAGGAGGAAGCTTCTATCACACAAACTATTTGGGGATTAAGTTGCAGCTCGTCCATCACGGTGCAAGGAAGGAATGCGTGACACAGCTGTACTCCCTCACCTGCGGTCATTAAAGATGACACGTGCACACTATTAGAAAGACTTCCAGCTGCAGACGACTTCTGGATTCCAGATGTTCACCAATCCGCTGATAGCAGCAGTTGACCGCAGCGCGCGCAGTGGAGCTCCGCTCGTGGCAGTGGACGCGCGTCACTACACTACTACACGGTGCCCGAGGGGGCGCGCGGCGTGCACGGCACAACGCACGCGCGGCACGTCGCTGCAGGGAGGCTCACCTGCGCGTTCACACACCTGGCTGCTTAAGAGTAATTAGAGGGTCAATTAGAGGCTCCAATCGGCGCCTCCAGCTGGCGGCCACTCGCCTAAAAAGGTGCACGCGCAAACACCTGCACCCGCCAGATGTGGAAACGGTTCCCGCACACACCGCTCCGGCTTACGGCGAAGAAAAGCAGCCGGAAGTTGTTGTTGTTGTTGTTTCTTTCCTTAATTGAACGAGCTCAGGTGAGGTGGTGCGCGTGGTGCGCGTGGTCGAAGCGGTACCTGGTGATGCTCCGCGGCTCGCTCCTCCGGACACGCTGCTCCAGAAGCTCCGCAGAGCCACTCTGATCCACGCTGCTCACCGACTGCGCGCTGCTCGTGCACGGCGGGACAAGCCGGAGCGAGTGGCCCACCCCGCTACCGGGGAGACTTTCACAATAAAAGCCGTGACGAGGACTGGCTTCAGTGCTGCTAATGAGAATTAGGAAACGAATAAGTACAAATATTTACTTTGTTGCTTTAATACTTTACACGAGTACCATTTCTCCGCAAGCCAATGTCTCATCTGTACATTTATGGGGCAACTGAAGTATTTAGTTGCTAAACAAATGAAGGTTGTTGCATAAAAAACAAACATGGAGCTCAAAAATGTTTAGAAATAATAACAGTTTTAATAAAATAACTTAAGTTACCGAGTAGTTTCAACAAGTACCTCCAGCGCTAACAGTGAAATCCTGCTTTTACATTATGAGTAAAGGGTAATCTAATGAAAACATGCTTAAAGTCAAAGGGGACGTTGATCATAAGGAACATGTAACCTTAATCAATTCCATTTCAATTACTCAATATCACAAATCTTGAGCTTTAGGATCAGTAGCCTGCGGAGTGTCAGAGGCCCCGGATGAAGAAGAAGACGATGTCATTTTGTTTGCAGTTTTGGGATGTGGGCGTCTGTGTCAACAACCCCTCCATGGTGAAGACACACAGATTAAACCACGAACATAATTAGGAAAATTCCCCATAAACTCATGCAACTAAAATTAAGCAATCCCCATATTTAAGTCACATTTTCACCTCTTTTCACTGCCTTTTACTGGCAGCCGATATGAGTATTACTACTATTACTACACAGTGGTATTAGTACTTTATTATTACAGACACTTTGGGTCCCTTCCATGTTTTACATTTTTGTTCATTCGGATCAAAACTCTCCATTTGCTCGAGAATTTCCTTTTTTCCTTTAATCTGAAGGGGGATTAATCTCACTTCCGGTGTGGCTCCAGCTGACCCCGGGGAGCTTGATGCTGCTGCTGTCTCAGTTGAGACTTGCAGGGTGTTTCCCGCCTCATTCCTCCTCCTGCCCTGCAGCGACTCATTCCTGTTACCTGGTTCAGGGGGGGGGGGGCGGGGGCGGGGCTTCACCTGGCGGGGGAGCCAGACTGTGGAAGAAGTTCACGTTGTATCAAGACTCTACGATCAAAGTAGGACCAGACGGGGCGACCGTGCTGCATGGAGTAGAGAGGGTTGTCGGTTTGAACCCCGGCTGCTCCATGTCCCATGTCCAAGTGTCCCTGAGACACCGTGCAGTGTGCTCGGGCCGTGTGGGTCAAATGCAGACAACTATTTCCTGTGTGTGTAAAATAATATTTGGCTTCTTCTTCTTTTCGTCCCCTTTTGAATCCTCATGTAAAAAAACTTCTCAGTGAGATCCGTCTTCTGAGTCCACAAGTCTGGACCAGCCGTGAGGATCTAGACCTCAGCACCTGTCCTACCTGAGCTTTGAGTCTTCTACCATTTGCTGTTGTTTTGTGTCTGTAATAATTGTGTGTGTGTCTCTTCGAAGACGTTTTGTGTCTCTTGCTGCTTCTGGTGATGAAGTTACACTGTGAGGGTGAAAGGAGACACGCCGTCCTCTGGTTCTTCACCTCGTCACGTTCTTGAACCTGACCTTTGACCTCTTCTTCAACGAGCTGGCTAATAGCCAGCGATCACCGGGAATGAGAGTGATCTTTATTCCTCTCACAGAATAAAACTTTTACACGTGTAAAAGGAAAAGGAAATATCTCCAAATCACCGTTAATTCACAACAACCTCCGTCCTCTCCATCTTTATCCGTTGACCCCCCCGATAAACTACTCCAACACCACATGCTCCGTCCTCTCCATCTTTATCCGTTGACCCCCCCGATAAACTACTCCAACACCGCATGCTCCGTCCTCTCCATCTTTATCCGTTGACCCCCCCGATAAACTACTCCAACACCACATGCTCCGTCCTCTCCATTTTTATCCGTTGACCCCCCCGATAAACTACTCCAACACCGCATGCTCCGTCCTCTCCATCTTTATCCGTTGACCCCCCCGATAAACTACTCCAACACCGCATGCTTCGTCCTCTCCATCTTTATCCGTTGACCCCCCCGATAAACTACTCCAACACCGCATGCTCCGTCCTCTCCATCTTTATCCGTTGACCCCCCCGATAAACTACTCCAACACCACATGCTGCATCTGATTCCAGCAAAAACACAAGCAGACTGTTCAAACCCCCCAGGACTCCCTGAAGATGTCCATCTTTATCCACTTCGTGTTCTAACAGGTGCCGCCCCCTGCTGGCAGCAAAGCAAACACCTGAATGTGACCTGTGACCTCTGACCTGAAAGCCCTCCATCTTGTTAACGCTCCGTCATTAACTTTGGACTTCACATTTGACCTTGTGACCCTTGTGATTTGACCTTTTTTTCTCTCTCACAGAAATTACAAAAATATTTGTGAATAATTTATTTTTTTCATTTTTACGAATGCAACTTAAAGTGGTTTCACAATCAAACAATTTCAGCACGAATACAAAGACAGAATGTAAATAAAGGATTTACAAGCATTCAAAGGGTGATTCTTCAAAAACAGAAATAAATCAATTTATATAAAAGCTTTGTGTTTGCATGAAATCCAGCACCAGTGAGACGAGAGACTCAGAGGAGACGAGAGACTCAGAGGAGACGAGAGACTCAGAGGAGACGAGAGACTCAGAGGAGACGAGAGACTCAGAGAGGAGACGAGAGACTCAGAGGAGACGAGAGACTCAGAGGAGACGAGAGACTCAGAGGAGACGAGAGACTCAGAGAGGAGACGAGAGACTCAGAGAGGAGACTAGAGACTCAGAGGAGACGAGAGACTCAGAGGAGACGAGAGACTCAGAGGAGACGAGATGAACGCTGAGAGACGCTGAGAGAAGAGTCTTTTCCCGTTGAGTCGACTGAACACAAGAGCAGAAAAAAGGTGGTACAAAGGCTTTAAAAGACTCTTCAGTTTAAAAGTGTTGATCCACACACACACACACACACACACACACACACTCACACACACACACACACACACACAGATGTTGCGGATGGAAAAGCAAACACTGGGGGGGGTAATGTGTTTGTGTGCGGGGGCCAAAAGTCCAAACCTCCCAAATGAAGGAAGACGCCGCGTCAACAGCGTGATCCTTCAGGGAGACTTTCAGGAAAACACAGAGCAGGTGTGTCTCTAGAACCCCGTCCCCTCCGTCCCCCGTCCCCCCCCCGTCCCCTCGGTGAGTATGAAGAGGACCTGGCTTCCCCTCATAGTCCTTTAAGGCCGGAATCTTTATTTAAAATGAAGAAAAGCCGCTTTTGTTTAGAAGAAAATGAAAAATGACACAACGAGAGGAGAGCGGAGGTCAAGAACCAAACTATTTCCTGACTAATCGTCACGTGATCAGCTCAGCTGACCCCTGGACGTCCCCGGCGGTTTGTACCCCCCAGCGTCCCCCTCCAAAGACCTTTGGGTTCCGGGCGATCCTTCTGGGGGGGACGATCCTAAAGTTCAGCCGGACACGTGGTTCCTGAGGAGGTCTCCTCCTTCCTGTCCTCGAGGGACGCCTCCTGTTTCACAAAAGTTGTCTTTGGCTTTGTCTCCCTGTGGCTCAGTGGTCGGTCTCCTCCATCACCTCCATCACCACCGCCCGGGGTCCCGTGAGGACCCGGTGGCTGACGGTCCGGTAGTCCAGATCCAGGACGTTGACCCCGTTGAGCGAAACCACAAACTGACGGACCTGAGGGGAGCGAGGAGGAGGTGAACGTCTCTGTGGACCACGTGTTTCTTTACAGAAATTGAAAAAGCTCCTCCAACTACATTTCCCACAATGCACACCTTCATCCCGGCAGCAGCAGCCGGGCCGCAGGGCTCCACGGCCTGGATGTGACACGGCCGCTCTCCTCGCACCACAAAACCCCACCCGACGGCATCGGACACCACCTGCAGGCACGGAGGCCAAAGGGGCGTCAGAAGAATCTACAGCTGCAAGGTGTGTTTGTCACGTGACGGGAGGAGGAGCCACGTACTGTGAAGGTCTTCTTGATGTAAGGTCCTCCCGGTCTCTGCAGCTCCTCCGTGCTCACCGGTCTCTTCAGGACTGAACATGAAGCACAACAGACCGAATGTAGAAACCTTTTCTTAACATACGAATAACGTGTGAGCGGCCGTGTGGCTGGTGACTTTCAGCCCGATGCGTCCGCTGAAAAGTTGGCGGATAAAAAAATTAAAGCGCCCCCTGCTTCATGGTCTGTTTGACTCTAAATGGACCATAATTCACTAAATGAACATCATGCTGTGTTGAAGAAGACTTGAAACTAGAGACTGAGACATAAACTCATGTTTACAACGTTTACTGAGGGAATAAATCAAGAGAGAAGTAGAGTCATTTCCTCATAGACGTCTATGGGAGCAGAGGAGTCGCCCCCTGCTGGTCACTACAGAGAAGTAGAGTCATTTCCTCATAGACGTCTATGGGAGCAGAGGAGTCGCCCCCTGCTGGTCACTACAGAGAAGTAGAGTCATTTCCTCATAGACGTCTATGGGAGCAGAGGAGTCGCCCCCTGCTGGTCACTACAGAGAAGTAGAGTCATTTCCTCATAGACGTCTATGGGAGCAGAGGAGTCGCCCCCTGCTGGTCACTACAGAGAAGTAGAGTCATTTCCTCATAGACGTCTATGGGAGCAGAGGAGTCGCCCCCTGCTGGTCACTACAGAGAAGTAGAGTCATTTCCTCATAGACGTCTATGGGAGCAGAGGAGTCGCCCCCTGCTGGTCACTACAGAGAAGTAGAGTCATTTCCTCATAGACGTCTATGGGAGCAGAGGAGTCGCCCCCTGCTGGTCACTACAGAGAAGTAGAGTCATTTCCTCATAGACGTCTATGGGAGCAGAGGAGTCGCCCCCTGCTGGTCACTGCACAGAATGCAGCTTTATCACATGAAGCAAAAGCATCACATCCACTATTTGTCTTCTACCTGATTTGGGGCTGTAGAGCACTGGTGAAGAGGAGGAGGAGGAAGATGAAGAGGGGGAGTTGTTGGATAGGCCGACTCCTCTCCTCCTGTATCTGCTGCCGTCGCAGCTCCTCATTCGGGGTAATCCCCGACCTCCTGCCACCTCCTTCGCCTCCTTAGAAGGAGCCACTGACGAAGGAAGAGGAAACAACAACGAGCTTTATTTCTGTTCCTCGATTCATACGACAGCAGAGTTGAGAAGGACCAACAGGGGACCGTTATCAACATTATTATTGTTATTTATTTCTTATAGATCAAATACGTGATGAAAGGAGGCCGGCGTAACCTCCAGAAACATTTAAATGAATAAAGAAAAAGAGCCTTCAATAGACTCAGGCTGTAGTGAATAAATATTATTAAACCTTTGTTTCTTTAGAAGGTGGTTAATACCTGGTCTATGAATATGTTTATTACAGCACACACACACACACACACACACATTTAATCAGGTCCTTCTGTGACGGGACGGCGGACGGAAGACGACCTGACACACAGATGATAAAAGGATAAAGTTGCTGTTGGATGAAGCGTGTCCTTCCTTCCTGTTCCGGGTCCTCGTCTCTGCACTACTTCCTACTGTAACCATGGTAACAGAACATTAACGCTTTAAAAGCGTGTTTTTGGGGTGAGAGGTTCTGCTGCCTCAGCTGTGTGGAGTTAACGGACGTTACATTGATTATTGATTGATTTATTAGCATGCAGCCTTCAGGGTCATTTGATTTGATTGGTTTAAAGTGATTCGCCTCTCTTTTCTGATTGTTTTTAAACTTTAAGGTTGAGTAGAACACGTCGTGTCACGGGTTTGATTCTGTTCCTGCACTCGGGTCTCAGTTACACAGAAAAGGAGGAAATTCATTGACATTCTTTCATTATAGTGACACAGAAGCAGAACTCAATCCAACATTTCTTACCTGCTGTCCGAGGTCCCATCTGTCAGCCGGGCATCCGGCCTCCGAGGAGAAGAAACCTGCCGAGGATGACGACCTTCAACAGGTCTGTGATCAGCTGCTCAGGGAGACGCGTCGGTGTGTGTGTGTGTGTGTGTGTGTGTGTGAGAGCTAAATATTTAACCGCTAAGCAAACAAACCCCGAGGAGGCGGAGACACGCTTCCAGAAGGAGGTTTTCCTCTCAGCAACAACGTAAGCGTCACTTCTCAAATAAACTACATTTCATAACATGTTTTGAAGAAAATCTAGAAATCCTTTTTCTTCCTGTTAGTGACTCTCCGGATGAGAATAACAAGAAGCGCACAACATGATTACAGCAAAAATCAATATATAATAATAGATAAATGTCACATACAGACTGGTGACGGAGTAAGAAAAGACAACCAGGGAAACATTAACGCTGCACATTATAAAGAACAAAAAATGACGTTTGTAGAAATCTGAGCGGTTTGAAGTGGAGCTCAATCTCAAAGATTAAATTCATGAAATGTGTATCCTTTCCCCCCTTTTGAGGCTTCTTTTGTTAAAACGTTCCCTAGACTACAGCTGTTAGGCAACTATGTTTGTTCCTTCTCCTCGTGTGAGTGATATCAGTTACGTGTTGATAGCTGCATGTGTTTCTCAATGAACTCCTGCATTGAGCAACTTTAGAGACAAAAGTAGTGTTTGTGCGCTGGGCAGCGAACCGTCTCCACGACACACAGGAGCAGCGGCCTGACGCCGCGCTGGCTGCCGGGGAGCAAAAGGACGCACGGAGAAAAGAGGCGATGCTTCTTCATTTGTAAATACATGGAGATGTATTTAAACAGGTAAACAGTGTTTTAAAAGCAGAGAAACAACCAAGAGAAAAATGTCTGATCCCATCGATGCGGCTGAGAATGAGATCGACTGAGAGCTACGCCGCTGACATCGTCAACAACAACAAAGGCGACATCGTCACGTGACGGGTGGAGTAAACACACGTCTGATAATCCTCGTCAGCAGCTAACGAGGATCCTTCCTCTGAAGATAACGGCCTTTGAATGTTTAAGTTGACACAATAACAGCTTGGTTTGGTTTCTACGATTCGTAGAAATGATTCCAGAGAATCAAAGCCAGCTGATTTCCCGTCGAGTACTTGGAAGTTTCACATTTTGGCTTCAAGAACCAAACTTCTGGGTCCCGATCAATCTAAACTCTAATCTCGTGACCTTTGACCCCGGTGACCCTGTGAGTTCCGATGCTCCCGTGGCAACACGTCGGTGGAGCGTGATTTGTTGGTCTCACCGTCCATCGGGGGCAGCAGTTAATAATGCGACTTCATCGCAGTCTAAAGGCTCAAGTGATGTCATCACCAAATCCTTCACATCCGGGAGGTGACATCAGGTTGATTGAACATTTTATTGAGCGAGATAAACTTCCCAGTGCGAAGTGTCTTTGATCAAGATGAAGAGATGGACTGAATTTGCACACAAGGATAATTAAAGAGGGTTACTCCAACAAAAAGCAGCGTCAGCTGGTTCACTTCCTTGAATTCAATTAAATGTTTCTAAACTTTAGAAGCTTAAATCTCCTTCTGCAGACAGAACAGCCGTACGGTTTCTCCCCCACGTGCACGACGGCGTGTCGCATCAGCTGCACTTTCTGTGAGAATCCCCTTCCCCGATCTGAGCAGTCAATGCCTTTTCACATTGCTGGAGCGACACACATACAGATGGTTTGTTACGCAGTTCAGCTGAGAAGCCGTCATTGGGAAGTGTTTGGAAAAGGGGGCAACACTTTGGAAGAAGTGCCTGGCAGGTGATTGGAGGAGGCATCTATCAATCAAACTCTTAGCAAACCAACCAGGAGAAATACGTGTTAATGGCTTTAGGTTCAAGTCGTGGGAACAATTAAAAGGAATGATGATAAAAACGATGTCTGGCACATCACCCAAATCACCAAGTTTACACTTCAAGAGTCCGCTACTGTAACCAAACTTAAACCAAATCATAATCATACCAGTCAGCATTATAGCAATTAGCATTATTGATCATTGCAAAGCGAGAAGAGGAAGCCATCCAAAGGTTACACTTAAAAGAACAAGTCAGCAGTTGATTTTTCAGCCGTTGATTAGAGGGTTAGGGTTATTAGAAGGACGGTTTAGTGAGATTACAATAATAAACATAACCGGTTTAATCCATAACTAAATTATAACTGGTTTAATCCTACAATATTATCATTAAAATAACCATCAGATTCATAAATCATGAAAATAATCATCAGATTAATAAATAACAAAAATAATAAGATTAATCCATAACTAAATTAGGAAACATGTAAAAGACTTTAACATCGTGACTCCCTCATATCTACACAGGAAAAACTCCCCAACAAATGAAAACCCTTCCAAGTACTGTACTGAAGGGACAACCACCATCAGATAGAACCACCATCAGATAGAACCACCATCAGATAGAACCACCATCACATAGAACCACCATCAGATAGAACACCATCAGATAGAACCACCATCAGACAGAACCCCCATCACATAGAACCATCATCAGACAGACCACCATCAGATAGAACCACCATCAGACAGAACCACCATCAGATAGAACACCATCAGATAGAACACCATCAGATAGAACCACCATCAGACAGACCACCATCAGATAGAACCATCATCAGACAGACCACCATCAGATAGAACCATCATCAGACAGACCACCATCAGATAGAACCATCATCAGACAGACCACCATCAGATAGAACCACCATCAGACAGAACCACCATCAGATAGAACACCATCAGATAGAACCACCATCAGATAGAACCACCATCATACAGACCACCATCAGATAGAACCACCATCAGACAGAACCACCATCAGACAGAACCAACATCAGATAGAACCACCATCAGACAGAACCAACATCAGATAGAACCACCATCAGACAGACCACCATCAGATAGAACCACCGTCAGACAGAACCACCATCACACAGAACCCACCATCAGATAAAACCCCCATCAGATAGAACCACCATCAGACAGAACCACCATCAGATAGAACCCCCATCAGATAGAACCACCATCAGGCAGAACCACCATCAGATAGAACCAACATCACATAGAACCACCATCACATAGAACCACCATCAGAAAGAACCACCATCAGACAGAACCACCATCAGATAGAACCCCCATCAGATAGAACCACTATCAGGCAGAACTACCATCAGATAGAACCCCCATCAGATAGAACCACCATCAGACAGAACCACCATCAGATAGAACCACCATCAGATAGAACCACTATCAGGCAGAACTACCATCAGATAGAACCCCCATCAGATAGAACCACCATCAGACAGAACCACCATCCACAGAAGCCTGTGGGGAGGGAAAGCACAAAGAGTGAAAGGGTAATGTTGTTTTTTTGGCAGTAACAGTAATATGATTCATAATGATGCTGATGAAGATGATGATGATGATGATGGCAGCAGCAGGTGTCAGCGGGGCCACGGCAGGTGTCAGGACCAGGGTCCAGAAGGAACTACTGCGGAGACCTGCTAGGGGAGAAAGCACAAAAAAACTCCCGGAAAGAAGCTGAACATTATGTGTATGAGACGAGGACACACTGGACCGTCTCCACCTCCAAGCAGCAACAAGCTGGAGATTTTTTTCCTGTGATCCTAAAGGTTCTGTTGCATGGGTGTAGTTCTCCACCTCTATAACATTACATTACATTACATGTCATTTAGCGGACGCCTTTATCCAAAGCGACGTACAATAAGTGCATTCAACCATAGGGTACAAACTCAGGAGAACAAGAAACAAGAAAGTGCAATTTCCTCAAATGAGCCAATTTACAATTTGCTATAGATGAGTGACGTCCTCCTTCCGCTTTGCTCCTCTACTTCAGGCCCTATTCTGTCTTAGATGGAGAGTAAACATGATAGCAATGCTGCTCCTACTGTTGATTTAACTTCATCCTCACTTTGTCTTGTCTTTCCCTCTGACAACATCATTTCATTCCGACTTGTCCTTTTTAAAAGCCATCCAACCAACCAACCAACCGTCAAAACCAATGTGTTTTTTGTCTTTTATTATTGCTGACAATACCATCGCTGTCTTGGTGACTTTGTGTTCTTGTTACTTTGTATCATTTTATATGTATTACATTACATTAAATGTAATTTATCTGACGCTTTTATCCAAAGCGACTTACAATAAGTGCATTCAATCATAAGGACACAAACTCAAAAGAACAAGAAACAAGAAAGTGCAATTTCATTAAATAAGCCGATTTACAACTTGCTGTAGATAAGAGCCATTATAAGTACAATGTAAGTGCTACGGTTTGTTAGGTAGAGTCTGAAAAGGTGTGTCTTTAGTCTGCGGTGGAGGATGTGAAGGCTCTCTGGAGCCTCAGTCTGGAAATAAAAGAAAATATATACCTTTGTCTAAATTCCAACCTGTCATTTACTGTGACAGAGATAATGCTGCCCCCTGCTGGAGAACCGCGCCCAACACATCCAAGTTGTCTTCCCTTGTTCTTCTTCACTGCCTTCGCTCTCTTCAGCTGAATATAGAATATACCTTAAGAACTACACATCCACTGAGTATCCCTAAAATTCTTTTAGCTAAAACGTGTGAAAATAGAAAGTTAGAAATGACGTCATCACACTGTCACATGCGACTTGTCAGATCCACGTGGTCAGTTTAGCTTGCTCTGTATTGTTGCCCTTAGGGGAGATGTAGTACCTGCGCCTGCCAGCAGGGGGCGGAATGGTTTTGGCAGTTTCTCCAGTAACTCCCGTTCACTTTCCTCCTTTCTCTGGATTCAATACAATAAATACTAATGCAAAGATTAAATATAAGTATCAGAACAATCTAACGGATGACACAAATAAAATAAACATATTATACATGTTGTATGTTATAGATGAATAAAAACAGAAATTACATTACATGTCATTTTGCTGACGCTTAGTCACGACAATACGTGCATTTCAAACATAAGAGGCACATGGAGGTAGAGTCTGAAGAGGTGTGTCTTTAGTCTGAAGATGTGAAGGCTCTCTGTGGTCCTGATGTCTTCAGAGACCTCCTTCCACCATTTAGGAGCAGGACAGCAAAG